GGCACTATGCTCAGTGGCATTTCCCGGGAGCCCACTGTTCTGCCTTCGGTCTCTATGAATTCGACTATTCTAGGTACTTCGTGTGAGTCCAGTGATAATTTCATGTGTATTTTCATGTGACTGGCTTATTTCACTTAGCACAGTGTCCTCAAGGTCCTTCTGTGTTGTAGCTTGTGTCGGAGTTTCCTTCCTGTTTAAGGCTGAACGATATTCTGTCCCATGGATCTGCCACATTTTGCTTGTCTGTCCATCCGCCAGTGGACATCGGGTCGTTGCCACCTCTTGGCTATTGTGAATTAGGCTGTTGTGAACACAGATGTGCAGATATCTCTTGAAGTCCCTGCTTTCCGTTCTTCTGGGTGTCTATGTAGGAGTGGAATTGCTGGCTCGTGTGGTAATTCTATGTTTAATTTTTTGAAAGCTGTTTTTTTGAAGCCAATGTGGTCATTGAGGCTCAGGAAGGGGATGTGACCGGGCCACCACCTGGGCCTGGGGGCCAACTGGGACCCACCCAGGAGTTATTCTTTTTTCTTTTTTTTTTTGTCTAACCTTTTTTGCTTTGATCGAAGAGTAGATTTGCAGAGCTCTGGGGTTGGGCTGCTAAGCAAACTGCCAGGAGAGCAGAAGGTTTCCGATTTCACCGTGCACATCTCCGCACTAAGCCGGTGGCTGTCTGCAGAGCTGTGGGCCGGGATCGGCCTTGCTTCCCTGCCCAGGATCCTGAGCTTCCGCCTTCTACTTTTTAGTGTTCCATTTCTGCTTTGGACAGAGCTTTGCAGGAAAGACAGGGCTCAGTCCCACCAAAGATGACGAAGCCCAGGGAGAGGTTTTCCACTGGGTGTTCCTGGTGGAGGGGGCAGAGAGTGAGGCCTCCCCTTTGGCACTGGTTTGGGGGAGATGGTGGCTTTCAAAATCCCCAAATAAAATATCACATGTTCTCATAATGGGAGCTAAATAACATGTACCATGGAAGCAGAGTGTGGAACGATGGACGGTGGAGACTCGGGGGTGGGGGTGGGTGACGGTAGGGTCCTTGGAGGGTTCAGTGGGTGCTTGGAGGGTTCAGTGGGTGCTTGGAGGGTACAATGGGTCCTTGGTGGGTTCAGTGGGTGCTTGGAGGGTACACTGGGTGCTTGGAGGGTACAGTGGGTGCTTGGAGGGTTCAGTGGGTGCTTGAAGGGTTCAGTGGGTGCTTGGTGGGTTCAGTGGGTGCTTGGAGGCTACAGTGGGTGCTTGGAGGGGGGTACAGTGGGTGCTTGGAGGATTCAGTGGGTGCTTGGAGGGTTCAGTGGGTGCTTGGAGGATTCAGTGGGTGCTTGGAGGGTTCAGTGGGTGCTTGGAGGGTACAGTGGGTGCTTGGAGGGTTCAGTGGGTGCTTGGAGGGTTCAGTGGGTGCTTGGAGGGTTCAGTGGGTGCTTGGAGGGTTCAGTGGGTGCTTGGAGGGTACAGTGTGCAGTTGCTCCAGTGAAGGATACACGGAAGGTTCTGACTTCACCACTATGCGATATTACCAGTGTAGTAAAATTGCACTTGTACCCCATGGATTATAGAAATAAAAAAAATAATCTTTTTGTTGGTCTCATGCCGAAACTATAATATTTTGAATGGATTGAGTTAAATAAAATACTAAAATTTTTTTAATCCTCAAATAATGCTCTCTATGCTCAAGAGGAGGGGCCTTGTGTGGTGTGGGGACCTCAGGTGTGGAAAACGGCCTTGTGAGAAGACAGGTCCCTGGGTGCTGGTTAGGACAGGGGATGAGGACATCGAGGGGCTCCCTCCCTGTCTTGCAGCAGACTGGAGGGGGCAGCGAGCCTGGATTCAAGGGGCCTGGGTGGCCAGGACAGTGGTGGAAGCCCACAGATGGAATGCGGCAGGGGTGGACGGGCCATCTGGGGTCCAGGCTTAAAAGCATCAGCCACACGGATGTCGGTTTGAGTTCTACGCAGAGTTGGGAGACAGCTGAGGTCTCAGTCGTCCGGGGGTCTGAGTGTGCACATGAAGATGACGGTCCCACTCGACGCTGGCGGAGACACTCGGATAGAAGGTCCTCCCCCTCGATGAAGGTTGCTTAGAAGATTGTCATTAGACAGAAGCAGGCCTGTTGAGAGGTTCTTAGAGCCTTTAGTGCACGCCGACAATTCCGAGCTAATGTTAAAGCCAGGTCCAGAGGGGCTGTGCCTGGGGACCTAGGCTGAAGAGGTTGTTGGAGGTGGGGTTAGGAGGTAGAGGAGGGACAGTGGAGCCCTCGTCGAGTAGTAACAGTGATATTTCAGAGCTAGTGGGTCTTTATTGATTATCTAGTCCACATGCCTGATTTTAAAGTCAAGAAGACTGAGGCGTGGATGGCTGCAGTCACCCTCGCTGACTCACACAGACAGGTGGCAACAGGGGAGGCCTAGAGCCTCCCTTCTGACAAATTACACCACGGCTCTTCCCAAAGCCAGCCCACGTCCCCTGCCCAAAGGCTGGCCGGCCCGAGCATTGAAAACCAACACAGCGATCTTGGTACCTGGAGCCCCCTCGGTGTCCCATGGATTAGAAAAGATCAAGGTCCTCTGTACAGCTCATTGGGGTCTCAGGAGGAGCCCCCAGCTCTTGGGGTACCCCCACCTCAGCTGCTGCTCTCAGCCCAGAACGAGCCTCTTGCTGGGACCCTCCTGTGCATGCAGAGGTAGAATCTGGCCTGGCCTTTGCGGTCAGCAGCTGTGTGCAGACACCTGGGACAGACTGAGGGTGACTGTGGCAACAGGCATAGTGCCGGACACCAGCTGGGGTAGCTCAGAGGGTCTCAGCCCCAACTACCTGCTAGAGTCCCCTAGGAAGCCTCTACAGCCACCAGGGCCCAGGCTCCTCCCAGAGCTTGGGATTCATTTGGGCTGTGTTAGGCCCAGCTACATTAGTTACATTGTCAAAGCTCCCCAGGTGATGCTGACGTGCAGTGAGGGCTGGGACACCTGTTAGAGGGCACCAGGTCCTGCTGGACACGGAAGTGGAGAACCTGGGAGAGGCGGAGGCAGAGGTGTGAGAGGAAGCTGGGATTTCAGCCAGCTGTGGGCATCTGCGGCTAGTGGCGGGTCGCTCTGCCTATGAGGCTCCTCCTGGCTGCCCATGTGGAAAGAAGTGAAAACAGTCCCCCTGGGACTGCTTTGGAGGTCCGAGGGCAGCCCTGTGCCCAGCTGGCATGGGTGTGTTTGATGGCAGTTGTAAACTCACAAACCTCTAGTTGTAACCTTTGGGCAGGGCTGCTCACAGGTGAGTCATGGTGAAAGTAACGTGGCCCGGTCAGGCTGGCCTCTCAGAAATCCCATGAGCCACCAAGGCACCCTTTGGAAGAAGAGGAGAAGGGGTCCTCATGTGAGACTCGGAGCAGGCTGGATCCTGGTGGGTTGGTGTCTGTAGCGAGGGGTCCATTCGATTAGAAAATGCAGACTGGGTGCGGGCCGTGGGGGGCTGCAGATGGCTGTGGCCTTGGAAACACGTGCTGGGCTTTGCCATTCAGCCTGGGAGGAAGGGAGTCTTTAAGTGCCTTTGGGAGGAATGTGTTACTTCTGTAACTGGATAGTCCCAAAGGCCAGGGAGGCTCTTGTAGGATGAGCCACTCTGTCCTCGTGGGGATACTCAGATTGGAGTAACAGTGGGGATTTGGGCAGCCCGGCTGGGAGGTGGGCTGAGTCAGCCAGAGGGAGGGCTAGGCCTGGGGAGGGCTGTAGCCCAGTTCCTTGGGCTGGGACTGGCAGACCACGGTGGGACGTGCTGTACACAGCGGCCAGGACTTGCGCCCCAGCTGGCATGCTGGCCTGTGCTCCTCAGCCCATCGTGTCCCCACCAGCAGGTGTACAGGGACTGTCCCTGACAACAAGACACTAGCATTTGGGGTCCACCTTTTTATAATGGCCCAGACTGCCATATAGGTATGGGGGAAAAACCAACTGTTTTTCTCTGCACTCACACTCAACACTGTGTGACCCAGTGTGGAGGGTTTTTCCCACACCAAGCAATTCTCCAGTTTTCTGCAGACAGCAGCTGGGTGTCCTACAATTTGAACTCAGTTCTGACACTCTTAACCTGGAATTAGCGTCAGTTCCCGTAGGTTAAGGGCTCGGTCCCACAAGACTGCCCCTGACTTCAGATGCCACTCGCAGGTCCAGGTGTTTATCAGCTGTGAAGTGGGGGTTCCCACAAGCCCCTCCTTGAGTTGGATCATTTGCTAGAGTGGCTCACAGAACTCAGGAAAACAACTTACTCACTGGATCAGCATCTTTTTATAAAAGGATGCAACTCAGGAGCCATCGGAACAGATGCCCAGGGCGAGGGACATGGGAAGGGGCACGAAGCTTCCATGCTCTCAGCCATCCAGTCAGCCTCCCTGCTCAGCAGCCCAGCGGCTCTGCCAGCCCTGTCCTCTGGGGGTTCATAGAGGCTTCGTGATGCAGGCATGATTGCTTATACCCTTGGCCACTGGTGATCAGCTCAACCTTCAGAGGTTGATGCTGGGCGTAGGCTGAAAGTCCCAAATCTCTGATGACACAGTTGGTCCCCCTGGCAACCAGCCCCACCCTGAGGCTGCTCAGGAGCACCCAGCCACCTGTCATCTCATTAGCATACAGAAACACTTTATGATTTTAGAGGTTCTAAGGGTTTTAGGAGACTCGTGCCAGGAAAGTGGGGGGGAGGGGTGCACAGACCAAATATATATTTCAAATATATGTCATACCCCCCACCAGAGGCAGACATGCCCCTGACAGCATTTCAGAGCCTAGTCTCATATTGTGCGGAGTGTGAGCTGACGTTCATATCCCCTCACCCCTGTGGTCTTTGGCCAGTCGGTCGTTAAAGTGATGTCATCATACCCAAGGTCCCTGGAGATGCCTGTGGGTGACAGAGATGGTGTCAGCCTGGGGGCTTGCTGGGACAGGCAGGGTGTGGACACTCCTGAGCAGACAGCCCTCTGGCCCCCTTCTCTGTCTCTAACACTGGCTGCTGCTTCGCACACACAGATGCCTCGTTCAGCACGCCGCCTGGGTACAGCTGTGCTGCGGACCGGGCCGAGGAGCAGCGCCGGCATCAGGACGGGCTCCCCTACATCGATGACTCGCCCTCCTCCTCACCCCACCTCAGCAGCAAGGGCAGGGGCAGCCGGGACGCGCTGGCCTCGGGAGCCCCGGAGTCCACCAAAGCGGTGAGTCCCCGTGGTACCCCGCCACCTGTGGCAGGTGGGCCAGGTGAGGCTCCCTGAAGGCCAGCCACTTGCTCAGGGGCATGTAGCAGGCACATGATGGAGCAGCGGATGATTTACAAGTTGGGCGAGTCACTGAAGACTCCTTCCTTGTCCCCACATCTGGCACACATAGACAGCCTGCTGGATGCATTAAGTAGGAGGATCGCGGAATGCTTTGTAAACTGAGCGTGGAGGTCCATGCAGGCAAAATGTAGTCTTGAGACTGAGGATATTGGCGCCAGAGGTCACCACCTACACCAGCCCGACCTTCACGGTGGCCCCAGCAAGGGCGCTGAGCTGGGGTGGTGTCCCTGTGCTATGTGAAGTACACTTGCTCCCTTTTACCGAAGGGGGTGCTGATGTGGCTCTATCTGTGTGAGCAGGGCCTTTCCCGGGTGTTCTTACTTGATCCTCATCAGCAATCCAGCGGGACTGGTGTTGCTGTTACCTCCACTTTACCAGCATGGGAGTGAGGTCCAAAGCTGGCTTCCCGAGGTCACGTGGCTCATGAGCAGTGACACATTCAGTAGGTGTTGTGCCCTGCACTCCAAGGCCCATGGACCTGCTCCCCCCTCGTGGGAACATAGCCCTGGGGTGGCCACAGGCTGAGCGTGCTGTCGCCACAGAGGTGGCCGAGCCTGGTAGAGTCCTGACTCCTCTCAGTGGTGCTTTGGGGCTCAGACGTGCACCCCTGCCACTGGGGCAAGGGCCCCACTTTGGCCTCCTGGGTTCCTTCCTCCTCAGGCTGAGAAGATCGCTGTCCCAGGGTGGTTGCTCCGTCTGTCTTTTTGGCGCCCTTTTTGGTCCCTGGTGACAGATACCTTTCCCTTTCTTTTTTTTTTTTTTTTTTTTTGAGATTGAGACAGAGTCTCACTCTTTTGCCCGGGCTAGAGTGAGTGCCGTGGCGTCAGCCTAGCTCACAGCAACCTCAAACTCCCGGGCTCAAGCGATCCTACTGCCTCAGCCTCCCGAGTAGCTGGGACTACAGGCATGCGCCACCATGCCCGGCTAATTTTTTCTATATATTTTCAGTTGTCCGATTAATTTCTTTTTATTTTTAGTAGAGACGGGGTCTCGCTCTTGCTCAGGCTGGTCTCAAACTCCTGAGCTCAAACGATCCGCCCGCCTCGGCCTCCCAGAGTGCTAGGATTACAGGCGTGAGCCACCGCGCCTGGCCTAGCTTTCCCTTTCTGCGTGGCCTGTTCCCTAGGTTTGAAAACGAGAGTGAGAGAGGCGTGTGCTTTCCCCATTGCCATAGGGGAGCACTGGGAGTGTGTCTCTTCACCGAGTTGCTTTTCTCTGGGGCTTATTTATGCTTTTGTGATTTCTAAAGGCCTAGGTGGTGGGCAGGCTTCTCATTCTGAAACGTGAGGATGGACGGGGAAGCCAGAATGTGACATGTACCTGGGGCACACGCAGGCTGCTGCCTTGTGCAGCTTCTTACCCCACGTCCAGCGTCACAATCTTACAGATTAGGAAACAGAGGTTCAGAGAGGTGGAGAAACTTGCTCAGGGCCACACAGTCAGGAGGTCCGAAGCCTTCCTGATGCCTTGGTTGACGGCCTTTCCCTCAACTGCCTGGCCTTGCTTGGCACAGCCCCTCTCACTGTTTCCTAAGGCGGTTTGGTACAGAGAAGGGTCCTCACTGTCCCGAGCAAGGAGGCTGAGTCCTGAACTCGGGACGGGGCATTCCTGTCCTTCCATTGCCCCCCAGGGCTGTCCTCACCCAGCCAGTGCTCGACGCACCCGAGAGGAAGTGGATCTGCCCACCCTGCCCAGACCCCTGTCCAGGCCTAGGGGCTTCCAGCACCCAGTTCAGAGGCTCCTCTCCTGCGGAGCCGTCCAGGTCTGGTCCCCGACCCCTGCTCCCTCCTTCAGCCACCACGGGAGCCCGTAGACATTTCTCACGTGACATGCGCGGCAGGAAGTTGCACATCTGTGCTTGCAGGATGATCTAGAGTCTAATCCCAAGCACGCCACCTGGCGCAGAGCGGGGCCCGGAGAAGAGGGAGTTAGATTGGAGGAGGGCTGCTCAGTTCCATTCCAGAAGCCCTCTGGTTGGGCTCTCTTGTCCGGGTTTGGAGCCTGGGGTAGGTGCCCTTTGCTGCCCTGGAGACAGGCACGGCCTTGACTTCCTGGTTTCCTTGCCAGCCGTGCAACAAGCCGTGCAAATGTCTTCTTTCATTTTTGATCTCTGGTTTGAAGAAGACATGGCTGTTGCTTTCTGGGACACCCAGGAACGTGGTGGCCTTGAAGCCAGAGGCACCCTGATCCTGACTGGCCAGCAGGAATGGGGTGTCTGCCTGCTCATCCCTGTCCTATCCTTCTGGCTAGGCGGACACCCCCTCTCCTTCAGCCCCTCATGTGGTCCCTGCCAGCGAGCTTGAGACTTGATGGCCGTGGGGCCATCGGGAGAACCTTTGTGGGAACTCGATGGCAACTCGGGGGCTCAGTGGACTCCTGGGTTACGGGTCTTGTCTGTGAACACGCACCCCCAGGGTAGGTAGGGGTTGGACAGAGGCCAGGCAGCCCCTTGCCTGGGGCGCTGCAGGAAGGAGTCACAGGTTGGCTTATTGGGACGACGTATGTTTATAGAGGGCAGGCACAGGAATCGCACTGCCTGCCCTGCATGTGGGGGCCTTCCCATCTGGAGAACTGGTCACCCAGGGTTTGTTGCAGCAGATCCCCCAGCACGTGACCCTGTGCAGAGGCCAGCCCGTTGCCCTCTGTGTGCCCCAAGGGTCCAGGCCCTTGGAGCGCTTGCCAGCTGGGCCCCAGGGCAGTGTCAGCCCTGTTGCTGGTGAAGACACTGCCCTCGCCCAGAGCTGAGCAGGGTCTTCTCTCCAGCGGCCACGCTGGCCATGCACTCCCAGCTGGGAGCAGCCTGCCCCTTGCGGCCCAGGGTGCTGTGCCCTGATTGCCAGGGGGTTCCCACATTGAGGACTGGGAGGAGGGGCTGCAAGGGGCTCTTCAAGCTCCACCCTGTTCTGTAGCTCAGGTCCAGCCCCAGCCCTTGGCTCACCTGTGGGCCTGGCTGGTGGCTGGCACCAGTTTTGTTCACCTGTGTCCCTCTGCCGGTTTTTCCTGCCTGGTGATCATGAGCCTAGTTTTTTTATGGGTTCTTTGTTGGCTTTTTTCTAGGCTCAGGCTTCCTGGTGTTTGCCCCTCCCAGGTAACAGTGGGAGGACTTTCCTTCCATGTTGCCGCCTTCTTTTTCCACTTGCCCTTTGCTAGACTCTGGCTTCCTCCTGCCTGCGTGGCCCTGACTGCGTCCCCTCACACGTGCACTCCACGCTCGGGTGTTATAAATGGCCCTGGTCCCGCCAGCCCTTTGCTCTCTGCTGTTTTCTGCTCTTTCCCTCCCCACCCTCTTTTTTACGAGATGGAGTTGGCTGGTTTGCAGGTTGTCCCTGTGTGATGCCACCAGCACCATTCCAGACTCTAGAAGGGTCTTAGTCTAAGGGGAAGAGAGATGCCTTCATCCTGTTTCCTCTCCACCCAAGCCTGTTCCCTGGGCCAGATGTTCCCCTGGGTGGCCCCACCCCTCAGGACAGGGCGAGCTGGACTCGGCGCCGTCCTGCCTGCGCTGTTTTTCCTCTCTGCTGTCCAAACCGTGTGGGCGGAAGGAGACACAGCGCTCCCACCCACAGGCACCAGCCTCTCATGCTGGGTGGGGCCGTCGTGGGCCCTGTGGCCCCCTGGTGCTCACAGTAGCAAGATTGCTCCCAGAACACGCGCAGGGCTACATGGGTGGCTGCCGCTGCCGGAGAGGCTTGCCGTTCCCGTCACCTCTTCCCTTGCATGGAATGGGGAGCAGCATCCGGACACCTGCAGGGGCAGCAGCTGCTTCCCCAAGATTCCGCCACCCACACTGGGCAGAGGGGGCGTCATGGGCCCCCCACCCTGTATGTCTAAGCACCGTGGGCAGAGGACTTGCTGAACTTCGGTAGCACTTTGGGGCCCAGCCGACAGTTGTGGGTTCCCAGGATCCACGTGTCTCCTGATTAGGGTACAGAGACCCTGAAGGAGCCCTCTCAGCTCTGGAAAGATTTGGCCAAATCTGGCACCAAGCCAGGTTGTTGAGATCCACTCGATGATTTGTTTATTAAATGAATCTTGTTGAGTACTTGGGTGTTCCAGGCACTGTGCTGGGCACAGAGGTTTCAAGTTCAGGCACAGCCCTGCCCTGAAGGCTCCTGCCTGTGGGGGAGGGTGCATGTGGGACCTGGGCCTCCTTTCCCCGGAGCTGCTCTGCTCTCAGCCCAGGTCTTGATGGCTGTCCCTATGCACACACTTGTGCTCACACACACACACACACACACACACACACACACACACACGCATGCTCACAGCTCATGCACATACACATGTGCATGCTCACAGCTCACGTGCACACACATGTGCATGCACTTAGCTCATGCACATGTGCATGCTCACAGCTCACGCACACATACACACAGGTGCATGCTCACAACTCACGCACACACACACGTACATGCTCACAGCTCATGCACACACACGTGCATGCTCACAGCTCATGCACACATTCACACACACGTGCATGCTCACAACTGACGCACACATGTGCATGCTAACAGCTCACGCACACACGTGCATGCTCACGTCTCATACACACGTGCATGCTCACAGCTCATGCACACACACGTGCATGTTCACAGCTCACATGCACATACACACACATGCATGCTCACAGCTCACACACACGCTCACACAGGTGCTGCAGTATGGTGGTGCAGGAAGGGTTTTTAGAGGGTCCCAGTGGGCAAGTGAAGGTGTGGTACAATCCACAAGGGGGGATTGGGTTTCCCTCCCCCAGTTTACCTACAGATAGCCAAGGCGCAAAGCTAGAGGGCATTTGCCAGAGACCAAGGGCAGGCTGGGCCCTGGGTCCTCTGTTGGACCTGCCGTCTGTCCCATGAAGTGGGCCTGGGAAGTGGAGGGGCGGGAGGGTTGGGGGCACAGAGGGGCCGTGCTGGGGTCCTGATTCCACGCTCTGCAGAGACACCGGGAGGCCTGGCCTGAGTCAGATCCTTCCTCCCACCCGGCAGTTTTCACCTGGGGTGATTCAGCCCCCACGGGACTCATGGCCACACCCGGGGGAAGAGAGCATTACTGCCGTTTGGTAGGTAGAGGCAGCATCCTACAAGGCACAGGACCCCCCAACTCCAAGAGAGAATCCTCCAGCCCCGCACGTCCGCAGGGCCAGGGCAAGGAGCCTGCGCCAAGTCAGTGATTTTCCCTGAGCGGTCTGGGAAAGTGATGGCAGTGGCCACGCTCCAGTTCCACGCCCGGGCTGGGCAGCCAGAGGGCAATGGGCAGGGCTGTGACATCACCTTTGGTGGAGACAAAGCCCTCCCCACGCTGGCACCGCCCTCTGGCCACATGTGGGGCCTTTGGCCCAGGGCAGGCAGAGGGAGCACAGAAGTGGGGCTGAGAACAGGGAACCTCTGACGCTGATGGTGGCCACGGAGCGAGGAGGGGAGAGGCCACGGAGCGAGGGCGGTCTTTATTGCCTGTGGCATCGTCATCCGTGTTGGTTTGCTGGGGCCGCGGTGACAAAGCTCCACAAACCCAGGACTTTTTCTCACAGTGCTGGAGGCCAGAGGTCTGAGATCAGGGTGTCAACAGGGTTGTCTCCCGGGCTTGTCTTTCCCTAAGAGTCTGTGTGCTGAGTTCTTGTTTAAGAACCAATCACAGTGGATGGGGCCTGCCCCAGTGACTTCGTTTTAACTTAGTCACCTCTTTAAAGCCCGGGTCTCCAAACACAGCAACATGCTAAGGCACTGGGGTTAGGGCTTCACCATATGAATTTGGGGGCATCGTAGGTAGGATTATAGTGAGGTCTCCCAGGGGTATGGGCTGTGTCCCCTCGTCGACATCCAGCAATGTGTTCCCTCTGTCTTTTGGAGGCACAGGCAGTGGAGCTTCACTAGACTTTTAGCTGGGACATTGATGGGAAGGGGGGACTTGCTCATAGCCACTGGTAAGAGGGTCCCTGCAGCAGGGTCTAGAAAGCAGGATTGGGGGACAAAAGCTATGAGCCCCGGGCACAGGGTTGCCCTTGGGCAGGTGTGTCTGGGGGAGAGGGCATGGAGGGGTGGTGCTGCCCAGGCCAGGCAGTCCAAGGGTCAGGTGGGAACAGCCGCAGAGAGGACAGGCGCGGAGGGCCAGGTGAGAGATGAGGAGGGGAACCTGGGAGGCAGCGGGAGTCAGGCTGGCCGTGTGCTGGGCTCCGGTGGCCCTTAGGTCAGAGTCTCCTTTTCCTTCCTTGACTGAGCCGGGGCAGCCGCTCCTTGGTGGAAGGCAGGTGTGGAGAGGCTCGCCCAGCCTGCTCGGCACCGGACGTCCCATCTCCCAGACCCCCCACCCAGGAATTTACGGGGACCACAAGTGAGTGGCTGAGTGCGTGCCGAGACACCGCCCAGCCCGTGCCTCCCTGTTAATGCCACGTGGCGCCTTCTGGGGTACGTGTACGGAGGTGGGCAGGCTGGCCTTCCTCTCCGACAGGGGCCCACTTGAGCATCCCACCGCACCTGCTGCAGTCTGACTTCTGTCTGCGTCTCCTGCAGAGCGAACTGGACTTGGAAAAGGGCTTGGAGATGAGGAAGTGGGTCCTGTCTGGAATCCTGGCCAGTGAGGAGACCTACCTGAGCCACCTGGAGGCGCTGCTGTTGGTGAGGAGGGTGTGTGGGGGGGGCTCACTCACAAGTCCCAGGTCAGCTGTTGGAGCCTGGGGGCAGCTCACCCTCCCTGGAGTGGACACCGACAGAAAACTCGGTTGCCAAACCAAGCTGGTTCTAAAATTTCATGTTTTATGGGATTTAAAAATAAAAGGATATGTGTCACATAACCACGGTTTTCTGTGGTCGTACCACGCACCCGACAAACGGCAGGCCCTCTCCCCCATACCCTCTTCCAGCCCATGAAGCCTTTGAAAGCCGCCGCCACCACCTCCCAGCCTGTGCTGACGAGTCAGCAGATCGAGACCATCTTCTTCAAAGTGCCTGAGCTCTACGAGATCCACAAGGAGTTCTACGACGGGCTCTTCCCCCGCGTGCAGCAGTGGAGCCACCAGCAGCGGGTGGGTGACCTCTTCCAGAAACTGGTGAGTGGCTGGGAGCAGGTGCACAGCAGCTGCCTGGGACCGGGGCGTGCTGGGAGCTGGTGGCCGGGGACCAGGCCCATCACGCCCCTTGCCGGCGTGTGCTGCCCAGGAGACTCCAAGGCGATAGCCGAGAGTCAGAGTTGGGTGTGTCTCGGTGCCTGAGATGATGCCAAAGGGCAGGTTGCCAGAAGGGAGAGGCCAAGGGGAGTGTGCCCACCCAGCTCAAGACCAGCGAGTGGGGCTTCGCTCCCTCCCCTGACACTGGTCACGTCACTGAGTCCTCCTGGCTCTGGTCAGTTTCACTGAAGATTGCAGACTCCAGGCTGGTCTAGCTGCCACCCCCTTAAGGGCCCCCGGGGATCAAAATGCTGGCACGGCCCAGGACAGCGGGACTTGGACATGGGGCAGAGGAGACTGGGGGGCAAGCATTGCCTCGAGAGCACAGGTGGGCACAGAGCAGGGGGTCGTTTTCTGTTATTTCATTTTTCTAGTTACTGGAACTAAAGGCCCTTGAATCACTTGGAGATTTTTTTTTTTTTTTTAAGACAGAGTCCCCCTCTGTCACCCAGGCTGGAATGCAGTGGAGTCATAGTAGCTCATGGCAACCTCAAACTCCTGGGCTCAAGCAATCTTCCTGCCTCAGCCTCCCAAGTAGCTGGGACTACAGGTGTGCACCACCACGCCCGGCTTATTTTTCTATTTTTGGTAGAGATGGGGTCTCACTCTTGCTCAGGCTGGTCTCGAACTCCTGACCTCAAGTGATCCTCCCACCTTGGGAGAATTTTTCTAAAAAATGTCATGGGAAGGGGAGACTGAGGCAATAAAAATCAAAGTAGTGGGAAAATTGTCCTCAGGTACTGAGAGGGCCCTGGCAGAGAGAAATGGTAAAAGCAGGACATCCATGTGACCGTGGCTTCTGCATGTTTAACACTAGGGACTTTCACGGTGACACCCAGCTGTGCTGACTCTGGCCTGGCCTTGGCTCAGGCCTGAGTGTCCTGCTCGAGGCCCGGCTTTCCCACAGGCAGCCCCTCCCTCCGCTGCCCTGGGCTGCAGACCCACTGGACTTCAGGCAGAGCTGAGGCAGGAGGAATGCATAGGGCCCTTTTTTGTTCAGATCCCTGCCACTGGGGCTCATTTCCCATGGCCACAGAGCAGGGGGCTGTATTTCGACGTGGGTGTCTCACCACCGTCTTCAACGCCCCCGCCCATTTCTCCTTGTGCTTGTCAGCAGTTTAAACCTAGGGGACCTGCCTCAGCCTACAACCCCCCTGAGAAGCGGAGAGGCGTGTCGTTGGAAAAAAAAAAACACATCCAGATCTCTTCCCCAAATAACATTCTGAAATCTCTCGGAAACTTTTTTTTAAAATTTTAATAGTCTGATGAACACTGGAATTTAAGTTTGGAAAGTTTCCTCCGGTTTCTCTGGTGTCCTTGAGCTACCTTCATGCGTCAGATGCTGCAGCAGAAAGATGGGGAGAGAGGCTGGGGTTGGGCTGGGAAGTCAGTCCCCGGTAACCGCGTGCCCAGCGCTCACGTGCGCACCTCGGGCTGAGTACCAAGGACTCCCCGAGGACAGATGGGCTCCGTGTCTGCCCCAGACCAGCTCGGTAGATAGGGTCAGCACAGCAGTGTGGCCCCTGCAGGCTTCCCAGCTGGGAGAGTCTCAGGACCAGAGGAGCTTGCAGCACCCTGCCCTGCCCGGCTTCCGCGCCTCTTCCCAAGCCAGGGACCTCGTGAGCTACGTCCAGTGGTGCAGAAAGCCTGACCCAAATTTGGCTTCTATCACCCCTTCCTGTAGGGCTGCAGGGGCTAACTCCACTGCCCAGGGTTTCGTTTCTAGCTGAAACTTTATCAGCTTGGATTTTCCCCCTAATCGTTTCAGACTTACAGCAGAGTTGCAGGCATAGCACAGAGAACTCAGATACGCTGTGTGACGTTTTGCCACATTTACTTTGTCTGTTTATACACACACACTTCTTTCCCCACCGAATGCTTCGTTGTATGCCTGGTAAGAACAGAGCATTCTCTGCCGTAACCGGCAGTAAATTTGTCAAATTCGGGAAATTTCACATTGACGGAACACTCGTGTTTTGTACGCAGCACGTGTGCGTGTCCCCGGTTAAGGACGGGTTCTGTATCGCAGTTTCCATTCTCTGACTCGGGTCCAGGCAGGGACCCTGCATGCGCTTGCTCGTCGCCTCTCTCTCGTCTCCTTCAGTCCGTAGCAGTTCCGTGGACTTTGCTTGTCTCCCATGACCTGGACGTTTTTTGAAGGGCACAGGCCGGTTCAGGTTTGTTTTCTTGGGTTCTGCGTTTCCGGTGAGAACAAGCCCACAGCAACGAGGCCCTGTCGCTGTCTGTGCAGCAGGTCACCGGGCACGTGGGCTCCGTTTGTGCCGTAACCGACGTAGCTCAGTTTTTCATTAGCTGGAAATGTGGACGTGAATTGTGCGGAACTCTGCATAGGCCACCCGAAGATTGTGCTGGGGCAGGATGGAGGAGGAAGAGTCGTGAGAGGGGGCCTCCTCCCAAGACCCCTGGACTCTGCTCAGCTGGCACCTCTTCCGTCCTGACCCTGATCTCTGCGGCAGCCCTGCGGCCCGTCACCGTCTGACCCCACCCTGCTTGTAACCATCTGCCATGACATGAGTGCGTGTGTTCACTTATTCATTTATCAGCTTCTCTCCTGTTGGAACCCCGGCTGCACAGAGCAGCGCAGCATCTGAGTTAGTCACGGCTGTGGTGACAGGGCCTGAAGCAGGGCCTTGGTTTTGCAGGGAGGCACTCAGTGGCCGGCAAAGGAGGGAGGAGGGAAAGAAGGAAGAGCTCTGGGTCTCGTCAGTGCAGCGAGGAGGAAGAGCCAAGAGTTCGAGGATGCAGGGGCTCGTCTGGTGTGGTCGGCGAGGCAGGGCTCTTTCCTCGTGTGCCCTGAGGCCCCTTGTGCAGCCCCCGCAGGGTCGGGGCCAGAAAACCAGACAGTGCCAAGTGTGCCTGGTGTACCTGGCGTCTGTGGAAACATAAGATTCAATATAAATGCAAATGCACATGGAAATAAAATTTAGGCTTGACAGAGAACAAACGCCAGGCGCAGTGGCTGCCTTAGGCTTCCAGGTGGCCGCGCTGGGGGATCTCCCACCCCGGCCTGCGGGTCTCCTGGGTCTGCTCCTGCCCGCCCCAGGGCTCGGTTTGCCGATCCCTGGGGAGGACTGGTTTCCCCCTCACTGCCTCCAAAGGTCATGTGGGGCCCAGAGTCACACACACACAGAAGCTGTCGCTCAGCTGAGCGCGTGTCTGAGCAGGAGGCTAAGCGAGGAGACCCTCCGTTAATGCCTTTGGTTTAATACAAGACAGACAAAATGCCTCTCCCCTTACAGCCACAGGTCTTCCACCTGCCAGGTGTGTAGCATGACACCGGGGCATCCCTGCCAGATCTAGGACGGGCTTGTGCCTGGGTGGTGGGAGGGCCCTTCTGCGAGGGCTGCCGGGTTTTGTGTTCCTCGCGTGTCTGAAGGGATCAGACGTGAGCAGAGGACCGTAGCTGCTGTAGGCTGGGGTGCTGACCTCCACGTTCATGGTGGTCTCCAGCAGCCGAAACAAGAAGACGTTGCTCGGACCCACCTATGTAGAGACCCTTGTCCGGATTCACTGGCAACCTCGAACTTTACCTGGCACACATGGCACCATTTAAGCGGGTGGGGTGGGAGGAATAAGTAGCTCTGACAGGGAGCTGTTACCTGCCCAGGGCTTGAGTCACTGCTCAGGATGTCATTTTGGGAGCAGGAAGGGTGCTCGCTGCGTGGGGCAGGAGAGCAGGTGGGAGGGAGGGTGCGGAAGAGCTGAGGTCGCTGCAGCCTGTGCGCTGTCCGCTGCGCGTGGAGCCTGTTCCTCAGAAAGACAGGGAGCAGCATCTGTCCCACACTCTCTTCCTTCCTCCCTGCAGGCCAGCCAGCTGGGTGTGTACCGGGCCTTTGTGGACAACTACGGGGTGGCCATGGAAACGGCCGAGAAGTGCTGTCAGGCCAACGCTCAGTTTGCAGAAATCTCTGAGGTGAGGCTGTTTAGACAGGTGCACCGCCAACTCTCACCCACACCGCACCACTTTCCGTGATGCACCGGGGGCTGGTGCCTGGTGGAGCCTGACCTGGGAGAACAAAGTGCACCAAATCCAGGTCTGCTTGCGGTCCTGGTTCTGTCTCCAGAATCCACTGGATTTGCTCCGATCAGCTGTGTGCCAGGGACGCTGTTGCACCCAGACAGAAGGGGCAAGCACAGCGCATCCTGCCTCCCTGAGGGCCAGGGCCTGGTCCTAGAGGCTGGCTGCGTTCCTCAGACGCTGTCTCACACCGTCTGTCTGCAGGGAAGAGCGTCCATAGTTCTGCCGTTAGCGGGTTTCACGAGGGGACTCCTAAGGCTGACCTTGCACCTGTCACTGGAAACTGGGCAGGGGGTGCGCTGCCCCTGTCCTTTGCTAGCCTGCCAGCGCCCCTGAGAACTGGGAGTAAGGGCTGGTGGTGCCTTTGCTGGGTAGACCCCGTGGGGAGCAGAGCCCCAGGTGAGAGTCGTACCGCCCCAGGCCCGGGTTGGAGGGGGCGGCTGTCTCCCTACCCGAGTTTAGCCGTAGGGGGCTGAAACCTCAAACTGCGTTAGCACCTGGGCCTCAAAAGAGCTCCTCAGATACAGAAAGGATGAGTGGGCCATCAAGGGGGTGGCGGCCAAGCCAGGACCAGAACCCAGCAGCGCCCCTGGGTCTGTGTTTCTCCAGACAGCCGTTCTTCCTGCCCTCCCCCATCCAGTGTCTGCCGATGGCGATCGTGTGGCATTTTCCTCTTTGGGAGCCTATAGAGGCTCTTGCCTTTGATGACTCCCACTGGCTGTAGCTCTTGCTTTTCCCCCAGCCAGCAGGGACTCTGGTGGACAGCCCTCTGTGTAAGGAATACAGCGTTAGAAAGAAACGGGCCAGGAGCAGTGGCTCACACCTGTAATCCTAGCACTTTGGGAGGGTGAGGCGGGAGGATTGTTTGAGCCCAGGAGTTGGAGGCTGCAGTGAACTGTGATGACACCACGGCACTCCAGCCCAGGTGACAAAGTGAGACTCTGTCTAAAAAAAAAAAAAAAAGAAACAGGAACTAGAAATAAGGAGTGAGTCTGGTCTCTTTCTGGGACTCAACCCTGGGCTATCACACCTGGGCTTTGTTCCTGAGGGTTTGTGTCATTTTATCATTTATCACAGGGGAGAGGGCAGGGTGCTGTGGTGATACTGCGTGTTGCCTTGTCCTCCAGAGCCCGTGGGGCACCCTGCTCCGTGCCAGGTGCTGCTGGTAACAGGATCTGCAGGTGCCTTGGGCTCCTGCCCCACCTGCCACTCCCCCGAACACTCAGTCCTTTCTCTTCTTTTCCCTTTTTGTCAGTTAGCAAGCCCCCACCACGCCCCTGACAGCTGGAACGGTGGCACAGAATTCCAAGTGATCTTGACAAATTAGTGACCTAATCCGTTAAGAGCAGGTTACAATTCAGTGGCCGAGTTCAAGTCCATCCAGATGGGTTTCTGCAGAGGAGGAAGAAACAGTGGTGGGTGCCATGCCAGGGGGTCACGTGGTCCCTCCAGCCAAGCCCAGGTGGGAAGCTGAGCCCATGCCTGCACGTGGGGTGGCAGCTCCGCCGGAAGCTGGCTGTCTGCGAAGCTTCGCGGCACTTGTACTGTGGGGGCAACATCCACGTTGGTTCTTCATCCGCGTTTCAAAAGGACTGGAGAAATCGGAGCTGCCCACGATCAAGCCGAAGGGGGAGGAAGCAGCAAGTTGCGTGGAGGAGGGGGGCTGTGTTGTGGGGGGCCAGTGCTCAGGCGAGGGGGCTTGAGGATCACCCTCAAGTACAGGGAGGGCGGAGGAGTGACCCTCATCTTCCCCAGGACAGTCCTGAGAGGTAGGTGCGAGGCAGCGTCCAGTTAGATCGGCGTTGCCCAAGCAGGGTTCCCTGGAACACCAGCTCCCCAGGCAGTAGGCAGTAGGGGTTACATGAAAAGGGCTTCTGGAATCACACTAGTTTGGGAAACATGGAGTTAAACCAAACTTACAAGTTTCCTGGAGGCAGGACCTCCTGGAACTCCCAGATACCCACGTGCATTGCCCTGCCCTGCATTGCCTGTCCAGGGGCACGTGGCGTGTGGGCGCCTCCCAGGCTCACGTGAGCACAGCACCTGGTTTGCAGTCTTTTGTTGGGCTCTCCCACCCCCTCACGCCCAGTGGGAAGTGCCGAGTCAGACGTACGGGAGCAGTGATCCCTGCGAGGGACGTTTCCGGGAAAGGTTCCAAAGTGCATGACGAGGTTTGGCCCCAGTGAGCTGGAAAGCACCATCTTTGGTCTTGAGAGGTTTCACATGGCACGAGAGGTTGATCTGCAGAGTGGTCTCGGAGTCCTTTCCCCTTTCATCTCTGCTGTTTGCGCCCTTTTCTTTTTTTTTTTTTTTTTTGAGACAGAGTCTTGCTCTGTCACTGGCGTTATCACAGCTCACTCCAACCTCCAGCTCCTGGGCTCAAGTGATCCTCCTGCCTCAGCCTCCTGAATATCCTCCTGCCTCAGCCTCCTGAGTAGCTGGGACTACAGGCATACACCACCATGCCCAGCTAATTTTTCCATTTTTGGTAGACACAGCATTTTTGCTCTTGCTAAGGCTGGTCTCGAACTCCTAGCTCAAGCCCGGCCTTGTTATGCTTTTGTTCAGAAGCCTCACACGGGAATGAATTGCACCTCATTCCCAGGGAGGGTGTCAGGCACACAGGCATCTTTTACCTTCCCTTCTTTTTGTACCTTGGACCAGATCAGTGATGCTGTCAACGCAGTTGTGTCATAATGTGGCCAATCCACTAAAAAGCCCTGCCCTCCCCCTGGGGATCTTAGTGCCTCGTTTTCTTAGCACGTACATTTGTGAATGGGGAGAGGATGGGTGGGGGTCGAATCTCCAAAAGCGAATGCTCTTCTGAACCACCAGTCCCCAGCACACCGTCCCATCACCCCAAGAAAGTGCTGTGCATTTAGGATGTACACTGCTGTTTGCAGGATTCTCTGTGTCAGAGGTCCTCAGCCAGGGGCTATTTTGTCCCCAGGAACACTTGCCATTGCCTGGAGACATTTTTGGTTGTCAAGCAGCAGGAAGGTGGAGTGTTACTGCACCTATAGGTAGAGGCCAGGGGTGCTGCTCAGCGTCCTGCAGTGCACCGGGACAGCCCAAAATGTCAGCAGTGCTACGGCTGAGAACCCCTGTGCCAAGTGGACCGCAGCATAGGGCATCCCGTGCGCCTCGCTTGCCCATGGGTCCCCGTGTGCCCCGTGATTTCATTCACCGGCTCAGAGCACATTTGGGGTTCTTTGCAGTGAGAGAAGGGTGAGGTTTCTGCTAAAAGTTCCTGACCGTGGAACTTTCTGCCACATCAGAGCTGCTTCAGTCATCCGTGCAAACACGTGCTTTTCTCTCTGCAGAACCTGAGAGCCAGAAGCAACAAGGATGCCAAGGATCTGACGACCAAGAACTCTCTGGAAAGTGAGTCTTCCATGCCCAGGCCTCTTTGGGTCTTTGTGGGGGTGACCGCTGCCAGCAGAGGGGACACTGCTAGAAAAGCAGATGCAGTGCCCAGCTGGGTCACCCCTGGCGCCTTCCTTGTCGCAGACTTCAAATGTCAAGGGTGGGGATGAGGAAGGAGCAGCTCGGGGCGGGGCAGGGAAGGACACAGTCAAGGCCACCAACAGGAACACCCAGGAGCTGCCAGACACGGCCCTACAGGGACGATTTTCTTTTCCCTTTCTGCAGATGCCAACAAGTGTGGCACACGAGGTAACCCAGGTAGAACACAGGTTCTAAGTGGCTGGGCAGGTAGTCAATGCAGAGTTGTTGGGAAAGTGGTATCAGGAATTATAAGCCACTTGTGTCAGTTGTCAGGATGGTGTGAGTAGTCACACTCAGAGAGAACAGCAGGCCGGGCACCGCGGCTCGTGCCTATGATCCCAGCTACTCGGGAGGCTGAGGCAGCAGGACCACTTGAGCCCAGGAGTTTGAGGCTGCAGTGAGCTATGATCCTACCGCTGTGCTCCAGCCCGGGTGACAGAGCAAGAAAAAAAGAAAAAAACAACCCCCAGCAGACATAGCTCCCATCCTGAGAGCGTCAGCATACTCTGGGCCTCGGTTTCCTGTCTATGAAATGAGGGTGGCAGTGTGTGCCTCCACTGGTGTGCGAGTCTCGTGAAGAAACGTACCTGGCAGCGTCAGTGCCTGTGATGGGCCACGCTCACTGTCCTCACAGAGAAGCACAGGTGGCCCAGGCTGGCCAGGGATGCCACCACGTCACGGGTGCTGCGGCCATGTTGGGGGCTGCTCTCGCTGTAGCAGGACCCTTGTGCTGCTGGAGTCCGGGTGTCCTCAGACAGGTTCCCAGAGTACCTGTCACACCAAGAGCTGTGTCAGCATCTGGGTCAGTTCCTGCCCTTCGCAGAGTCAGGCCCCAGAACGTCCCAGGGTGAACACTGAGCGCAGCGTGGTCCCCTGGTCCCTGTGTATGCCCTGGGCTGGGGCAGGTCAGCCCTGCAGGCTCGGGTCTGGCCAGTAGCTCTGGGCTGTGCACGAGATGTCCTAGACTTAATGCTCAAAGCTTCCGGGGCAGGTGCTCTGGGTTCACACAGAGGGGAGGTGGGGCCTGTAGAAGTTGGGGTGACCCCATCTCCCCTCACCTTTGGACCGAGGGCAGGTGGGTGGGTAGTCTGCTTTCTCTGTGTGTGTCCATCTCTCACCTGGCCTCTCTCTCCGCAGCTCTGCTCTACAAGCCTGTGGACCGGGTGACGAGGAGCACGCTTGTCCTTCATGTGAGTCATGGCGCCTAGTGGCATCCCAGGGCATGGCAGCCGCCTCCCCGGTGGTCTGGGCACTGTCCCTGCTCTCAGGCCTAGCCAGGCCCTTATCACCTGGGGTCCTTGGCTTCTCTCCTGGGGTTGACACTGTTAACTTTGTCCACCTATCACCTGCCACCTTCTCCCGTTTTCTGCCAGACACCTTTACTGAGGATGCAGAAATCAGGCGCTGCCGCCATCCAGGGCCTCGTCGGCTGTGGTGTAGGGGGACATGGCAGGCTCTCCAGGTGTCCCCCTCTGCTGTCCCACCTGCTTTCCAGGCACAGGCATGGCAGGGCACCAGGGAGGGAGCATCCTGTCCCACGAGGGCAGGGACTTGCAGCGGGGGACGCTCCGGGCCAGTTGCAGCGCCGAGGCCCCAGGGTGGGCAGGCTGGCGGCACCTACAGCAGGTGCGTTCCAGGGGCCACAGCTCAGACCACCACCTCCCAGCCCGGGAGAGCATGCAGCAGGGAGACCTCGCCTCACTGGGCAGGCACTGAAGGGGTCCCTAACCCTGAGAAACAGAACCAGAAAACAAAATAGCCCCTGGTGCTACTGCCTGGGAGATGCTGTTAATACACGTTTACAAATTGTACGTGAATTTTTTGTTTTTTTAATTTACAACCAATTCACTGAAGTGGATGAAGTTTCCGTTTCCTTTCCAGCTCCCTCTCCACAAAGGAGCCCACCGCCGGGATTCCTTATGCTTGCGCCGGCACACATGAGCATCTTTTTACTCACGCAGAAGGTGTCACACCGTACATATCGTTCCACGCTTGGCTTTTTTTTCCCACTTAGTAGCATATTGTGGGGATTGTTCCACTGAGTGGATGATTCATAATTTCTTACCATGCTCCGATGAAGAGTTTGTGGACAGTGGGAAATGAGATTTGCGGTTTAGAAGGCTCTGGCTCGGTGGCCCATCAGACTCTGGGGGACACTGTAGTGTGCCGCCCGCTGTGACTTGTCCGGGTGTCAGGTGTGCATGGCTGAGCATTGCGACAGGGACGCCGGAGCTGCCGTGGGTGGGGTGGGGCTGGCCCGTGGCCGCCAGCCCAGGTGCCTTCTTCCAAGCTTATTTCATCTCTCCAGGGTCTCTCTGCAGAGAGGATTTGGAATCCCAGGGGATTTCGTTTCTCTGAACCAGGGCAGTGTTGACACTGAGCACGAATTACTTGAATTCCTAGTGGAGAAGGAGTCAGTGTCCCCTGTGGGCTCAGAAGAGCCTTAGGCGCTTACCTGAAGGAGGAAGAGCCCGGGGCCTTCTGCTTTCCTTGTATAGACCAGTGGTTCTAGACCAGGACCCATTCTGCCCCCGGGGACCCGAGGTGATATCCACAGACATTTTTGGCTGTCACAACTGTAGCCACAGGGGTGCTACTGGCATCTAACGTAGGGGCCGGGCACAGTGCTAAATACCCTGCAGTGCACACGATGCTCCCCCGCCCCTAGCAAAGATCATCTGGCCTGAAATATCAGCAGTGTGGGGGCAAGAAACCCACCCGAGGCCCTCACAGCAGGTGCTCTTGGCCGCATGCATCCAGCGTGGGTTTGTGGAGCACCGTTTGGAGCCCGCGTCTGGGGTGATGCTCGTGCGAGCACTGCCTGCAAAGCCCAGGCCCAAGCGAGAGACACGGGTGGCACTTAGGGATCTCCAGGTCTCGCCCGAGTGTCTGTGCTTGGCCCACTGTGGCCGCTGGGTGCCAGTGCCACCCGCCGCCTCACTGCGGTCTCCCCACGGCAGGACTTGCTGAAGCACACGCCCTCCAGCCACCCCGACCACTCCCTGCTGCAGGACGCCCTCCGCATCTCGCAGAACTTCCTCTCTAGCATCAACGAGGAGATCACGCCTCGCCGGCAGTCCATGATGGTGAAGAAGGGAGAGGTGAGCGTGGCCGGGGCACGAAGGGCACCCTCGATCTGAGACCCGGAGCCCCTCCTGGTCCCCAGCAGTCTTTCCCTGCATGGCTCAGCCCAGCACAGGAAGTACGTTTCCTCTCAGAATCAGTCACCCTGGTGGGGTACAACCCAGTCCCGTGTGTGAGACTCTCAGGTGAAGCTGCAGGGGTGACCCCTACGCTCTCCAGGCGGCATCCGTCACTGTGCTTCACTTGGCCGCCTCTTTGCTTTTCTCTCTTGTCAGGTTATGTCCAGGGTACTTCTCTGTTCCCCCTCACTCTGGCCAGCTCGGCGTCTCCAGCTGAGGAGATGGGTGAAAGAAGGCCGGAGTTTTATCTGCCTGGAATCCTCCTCCTCCTCCTCCCAAGTGCCCTGTTGTTATAAAACAGTTAACTCTGGGCCTGGCATTCTTAGAGGCCGAGGCAGGAGGATCGCTTGAGGCCAGGAGCCCAAGACCAGCCTGGGCAAGAGTGAAACTCCATCTCTACAAAAAGTAGAAAAATTAGCCGGGCGTGGTGATGTGAGACTGTAGTCCCAGCTGCTCAGGAGGCTGAGGCAGGAGGATTGCTTGAGCCCAGGAGTTTGAGGCTGCAGTGAGCTGTGATGAGGCCATTGCACTCTACCCTGGGCAACAGAGCAAGACCCTGTCTCCAAGAAAAAAGGCCTGAAGCCTCCTTCATCTCATGCAGGCACAGGAGCCGGGGAAGACACTGGCGGGGCATGAACCCAACCCGACTATGGTTACCTCTGAGAACCACTTTCCTCCTCTTTCTTCTGGTTTGTGTGCCAGGTGGTCGGCACTGTGTGGCGGACTCTATGCCAAGGTCACAGGCCCTGTCCTCTGCCTGCCACTTGCAGAACAGTGCTCTGAGCATCCGGAATCTGACTGTGCTTGAATATGAGTGAGGGGTTGGCCAGGGTCCTCCTGGTGGGCCTGGCCAAGGAAGGGAGTGGAGGAGGAGGGACCACGGACCACCTGGAGCTTCTAGTCCCTGGGCCCATTCCCTGCCTTTGGAGCAGGGTGGGAACAGAGCCCCACTTCACTGGCTGCCTGGGCACTCGAAAGGGCCCGACGTGTGGCAGGAGCCCCCCATGGCGGCAGTCCTGGCCATCTGCGGCCTCTGAGCTCATTGGAGGCAGGACCGGGTCCCCAGCACCTCTCGGGGGAGGCATCAGGCAGGGTGGGGCCTGGGGGAGGTGGGGATTGTTGCTTGTTTTTGGAGCAACAGCTGGGCCTTGCCCCTCGTTCTGTCCTTGGCTCAGGGCCACCGAAGGAGACCAAACCCGAGGCCTCCCGTGGGCAGCCCACGCAGGTCCAAGTGGGTGTTGGGTTCGCTACTGCTGAGCTTCCAGGCACCTGCCGGGCTCCTGCTGGGCTCCCCTCCCTCCCGGGATGCCTGCTCCTTCCCTTCTGCCGACTACTCTTTTATGAGTGCTCCAGCCCCCTGGGAAACAGACGTAGTAGGCGTCCTTTCTTCCTGTGGCCTTCTGTATGGTGCAGTCTGCTCACCTTAGCTCCGACTGCTACTTAGGACGACTGGAGAGAAACGCCTTCTTGCTGTTCAGATCATGAGCGTCCGCTGCCTTAGGGAATGGAGGAAAATGAGCTGTTGCCCAGATGTTGGCAGCCAGGCCCTCATTCCTCCGTCTGTGCCCATGGCCTCCCTCCGTACTCGTCACGGCCAGGGTCTCGGGTTGACCAAGCAGGAAGTGTTTAGGCGCTGGTGTTTGACAGACGCAGGGGCCTTTGCACCCTTGCCAGCATCTGGCCTGGAGGAGGGGCACTGCTCATCGAGGAGGGGTCACTTGGGTACCTCAGCTGCAAAAGGGGGAGGAGGACTTGTGACATCTGAAAGGTCACCGTCAGCCCAACCCGCACCCCGTCATTCAGAGCTCTCCATCCAGGGCATGTTAAGGGAGGTGGCTCGATGGTGGCTAAGCCAGGGTGGCAGACACGTGCCCCACCCGGCCGTCCGTGGGCAGACATGGATAGCCAGGCACTCCAAGCCTGGGCATCCTCCTCAGTGTTCCTTCCGGCTGCCCGGCCAAGCTGCAGACCCCGGTGGGGTAGAAAGGATACCAGGCGGGCCCTGCCCCACCGCTAACTGGTGTTACTGATTTGGGGACACCATTTTTCTTCCAAGTATCTGTGCTCTTTGCAGTCAATAACTCGGGGCCCACGGCCCCTCCAGGTGTGAGGCTGAGAGGGCTCCACAACCTTCGAGGGACTGTGTGGAAGCGATGGGTCATGCCCTCCCCACGTGGCGCCGTCTGTGTTAGAGGTGGCAGGAGAGCGTCTTCCATGTCACCAGCAGGACAAGAATCCGTAGCTCCCACCCCTGGCGGGCAGGGGCGTGCTGCAGGCTGCAAAGAGAGTCTGCAGCTGGGAGGGCCAGAGCTTTGCCTGTCTCTGAGTTTGGTTTGTGCCAGTGAGCATCACATTCCCACAGCAAGAGGACCTTGCCTCTGAGTTCTCATGCAGACCCCGTGGGGTCAGAGGCATTCTTCCTTCCACAGGTGAGGAAACGGCGGCACAGAGAGGTTGAGTGGCTTTCCCACAGTCACACAGCCACTAAGTAGCTAAGCCAGGTGAGGCCAGGTATCCCCTGGCCACCCGTTGCACCCCAGGCATGTTATACTTGGGTTCCCTTTCCCCGCTGTGAACCAACAGGACTTGTCCACCCCTGGAGTGGAGTCTTGAGGAAGAGGATGTACCCCTCTCAGCTCAGCACGCTACCCAGGCTTAGGTGCTGGGCGGCGCCCCATCTCCTGCTCCTGTTGGGAGCTGCCAAGGGGGTTGGCTCTGTTTCTAGCTCCCCTGGCGGTTTGGCAGTGAGAGGCCCAGGTGTGAGCCCTGTGGTGTCCCCTGTAATCGCAGCATCTTCTCAGCCAAGTCCTGCAGCTCCGAGGCTGTGCTATTGGAGGAAGAGGGACTTTGGGCAGCATCACGGGTGGTTCCCTGGCAGTGAACAGTGGCCAGCAGGTGCTTGGCCTTCCCAGCGTCCTGGCCCCGGCATACCTGGGGGCTGTGAGCAGCAGGCGTCACCCAGGAGGACGTTCCCCTCAGCCCCCCAGAAACATCAGGATCGAAGGGTCCTGCAGGCACCTTTTCCTTCCAGGCCCAAGTCCTGTGGCTCATGGATGGGTGGGTGCTCATTTGTTTGGCTGAATTAACGTCATAGTTAGATAACTGGATCCCCACTACGGGGTAATTTCCCCTCGGGGTTGCCTGCCTGTCTGCCCTGAGCCCTGCACCTGAGCATCCCCCCAGCTCAGCCTTGGAAGCACATAGGACGATGAGGTTTGGATGTTTTGTTTCCCAAGAGCCAGCCAGGCACTGGCCTCCGATCCCGTCTTTTGCCGGGGATCCCAGAGGCCCCTCGTGGAGGACGAACTCGGGGAGTGGTCCGATAAGGATCCACAGGGAGGCCTGGGGGGAGTGTGACTGGGGCAGGCTGAGGCTGAGAGGCGGTAGGACTTGGACACAGCAGAGTGGAGGCCTCTGGGCTGAAGACAAAAGAGTTGCAAAACAGCTGGAGGGACCAGACTCTGTCGGCAAAGTTTGCAAGTGCTGTGGAAAGGCAGGTACCCGACCCAGGGGTGAAGGCGGGAGGGGCGGGGTCCTCCGCTCCGCCAGGCACAGAGTGGCAGCCACTGCTCACCTCTGAGCACCAGCTTGCTCGCCTGCACGATGGGGATGGGCCTGGACCTCTCCGAATCCTTGGGAAGAAGCCGAAAGAAGCCTTGGCAGGCACTGCTCGCCGGAAGGCAAAAGGCGGGAAGCTCCGAGGGTGTGGCATGCCCCATGTGGGGGGCCAAGCTTTCTTGGCCCTTCGTAAACAAACATCTGCAAACAGTGGGGTTCTCAGCTCGTCTGGGCTGGGTTCCAATTCCCTCAAGGAGTGTGGGCACACGCTCACCCCCTCGGCTGTTCCTTTGCCATGAAGTGGCAGAGTGGCGGCTACATAGACGGCCCTGGGGAGTGACATGAGCTGTTTGGGGTGACGCTCTAGGTGCTTGGCATTCGTTAGCTGCCACCACTGTCACTATTGCTGTAAACTGGCAGTGTGCTTCCCGGGCCCTGTCCCACCCTCCGGCAGGTTCCCGTCCCTTCTGGGCCATCCCCAGTGAGGGACCATCTTTTGATTGTCTCTCCAGGTTATTCGAAACCGTCTGGGCCAGGATTGGCCAGGAGAGGCTTTCTTGGGGCCCAGGTAGTGGAGGTTTGCTCTGCAGGGAGGCCGGTTAGCCAAGTGCCAGGAGCCAGAGGACAGAGAGAGGGAGGAAGGGACAGGAGGTAGGACGAGCAGGACCCTGGGCCTCGTGCTCGACTGCGGGGGTCCGTCAGCCTGGCCGGGGTCCCTCATTGCTCCCGGCCCACCTGTTGAACCTCTGGAGCCCACCAGGTCCCTGCACAGCCAGCGCCACTGACGGACAGTGTTGGCCAGATCACTGGCACTCAGCCAGCTCTCCAGGGACACGATAGTGAGGGCTGGGGCTGCTGGCTTCCTCCAGAGCCCCCCTGGGCCAGCCGCTGATGCCCCCACCTTGATCTCACCTCACCCTCTTCCTTCTCAGCTTCCTCTCCTCTCAGCCCCACCTGGGCCTCCTCCAAGACTTTCCCTCGTCTGCCTGTCAAGGCCCTGCTGATCTGTTCATGATCACACTGCAGTAGCTGAGGAAATCCCCCAGCATGCCCTGGAGCCTGGTCTCGGGCTTCCCAGAGCGTGTCTTAGTTCCAGCTGCTGCAGCAAAGCACCACCCGCTGGGAGCTTAAACTACAGATGCTTCTCCCACCGTCCTGGAGGTTGGAGATCTGAGGTCAGGTGCCAGCACGGGCAGGTCCCGGGGAGAGCCCCTTTCTGGCATACAGACGCCGCCTTCTCACTGTGTCCTCAGGCAACCCGTCCTCCGCGTGTGCACCTGGAGAGAATAAGATCTCTTTCTCCCTCTTACAGGGACACTGGACCATCATGAGGGCCCCGCCCTCCTGACCCCATCTAAACCTCGTTATCTCCCAAAGGCCCCACCTCCGAATACCACACACCATCCCACTGGGTATTAGGGCTTCGTGAATTCTGGGGGGACATAGACATCTGGCCCATGGCAGTACCCTTCTTCCAGCTTGGTTTTCCTGGGAAGGCTGGGGGGGGGGGCGGTTGCCATGGTGACAGCTGATGGAGGCGCTGGCCTAGGGGAAGAGCCCAGAGGAAGGAAACCCCCTTCTCAAGGCCAACGCGGCCTGAGCTGCCCCTCCTGGGAGGACTGGACACAAGATGCAACCTCCTAGGGCCTTGGTGGTTTTCCTGTCTGCAGAAAGGGGGGTGATGGTGCTTCCCTCGTTGAGTCCCCGTGAGGAGTGGGTGGCATGGTGCGTGGGAGGCTCTGAAGGTGGCACCTGACCCTCGAGGACGGGTTCCAGCAGCCCCATATGAGGGCCTTTAGGTAGGTACACCGTTTGATTTAACGCTCTCAACAATGCCTCCAACTTGTCTTTTTCATTGCCATCTCCGTTTTAAGGGAACTGAGGCTCAGAGATGGGGCAGCAGAGCCGCGGTGTCGTCATGGAGAAAGGAGGGCAGCCGAGGGCAGCGGGGGTGCAGGAGGGCCCTGGCCGCGCTCGCCCCTGCCGGGCGATGTTATGAGTCATTCAAGAAGGCAGCCGGTGTCCCTTCCGGCTCCTTCTGGCAGCATTTCCCACCTGGGGGGCGGGGAGCTCCCGAAGGGGTGTTGTCCTGCCCTCCGTGCCTCCCTCCCAGCCCTGCCCCACAGCACACATGGGCGCACACGCTTGCACAGGGACATGTGCCTGCATGGGGCTACCTGCATGAGGACACGCTCGGACATACGCTCACCCTGGAATGGACACCCACACGGAGACACAGGACGCACTCAGGGACACACACAGATACACAACAGAAGCGCTGAGAGCTCCAGGGAGCAGCTCTTCTGAGTCTGCCCCTCAGCAGTCCTGTCCTGGGGTCCAGTGAGGCCCCAGCTCTCTCTGTCCTACAGCCCCACCTGGGGGCGTTTGCTCCTCTCTGCCGCAGGGACACTCCCCCCAACCATGGGATCTTACACTGTCTTTAGGACGCTGTGGGGACCCAGCCCTGCCCTCGCTGTGTCCCCTGGAGGACCCGACTGGGGTGGGTCAGGTGGAAGTCGGTGCTGGTTGAGTCCCCTCCTGCCACGGGGCACAGCACAGGTGTCTGGGCGTTTCTGGCCCACAGGCCACGGGTGCTGCTTCTGAGCTTAGCGTAGGGTGCCCTCTGCTGGTGACAGCAAGAAGCTCAGCTCCTTTGAATAGAGAGAGGGCTGCGCTCCCGCCATATCCCCGCCTCTCTCTGAAGGTCCCTTCAGCCTCTCCTGCTGGGCCAGGAGACCCTCTGCCGTGTCCTTGGCAAGGGGCAGCCTCTGGTCTTTCCCCGAGGACCTCAGTGTCCCAGGACCTTCCCCAGACTGGTTACCACTGCAGACCCAGCGGTGGGACGTGTGCCGGGTCTCTGGGGTCAGCCCTCCCGTGCGGCATGGACAGACATTTCTCCAGGTGCATGTGCCGTTTCTTGCTTCCTGTGTGTGCCACTGCCAGGCAGGGCGTGGGCGGGTGCTGATGAGTCACAGCCTTGGCACGCCAGCAGCCTTCTTGCCCTTCCACTTACGGGCGATGGCCCCCACATAAGTCATAGCTCCCCCGCCAGGGCCGTCACGAGCTGAGCTACCTACAGCGGTGACATGCGGCCTCCACCCAGGGAGTGTCAGTGGCCTGGCCCAGGCTGTACTTGCTTCTGGGGGCTCTGCTGCCTCTGGCCCCTGCGGAGTGTGGGAGAGTTCAGGGAGGCAGGGGTTCCCCAAGAAGAACCTCGGGCTGCGGGCGGCAGCAGAGCCAGGCACCTGCCGTGGCCCCTGGGCCCAGCCTGGCTCCTGCGGAGCATGGGGCCGCTGTGTCTCGAGATGGGCACAGGTACGCTTCCTGCTGGGGAGATGCTGGGTTTTCATGCGCTCTGTTGTGTGAGCCCAACCTGCAGACCCTCCCAGCCACCATAGCCCAGGGTGGGAGTCGCTCTCCCTGGGAAGCCCTCCCCGAGGCCAGGGGGGCCAGTGCCCGCTGAGCACCTGGTCTCTCCCCCGGGATGGGAGCTCCCTAGGGTAGAGACCGGTGCATGATGCCACTTGCTCTCTGTGCTGCCTGGATGGATGGCGAACTCTCCGGGGCTCAGCTTTCTCGTCTGTGAAATGGGCATGGTGACTTGCCCACAGCGTGTTGTGGGGATCACGTCAGATAATTCAGGGGATGTGCTTATACAGCACACTGGCCTGTGCCTGGGGAGGGCTCGCTGTGACATTCTGTCATCCTGGCCCCTTGTCCCTGGCACAGAGCCCAGCCCGTATGAGGTACTGAGCACCATTTGTTGGGTGAATTAGTGATTTACCCCAGCACACCCATTCAACAGCCTCTCGAGCTGTGTGAGCAAGAAGGGCCGCTCCTTGACTTTCAGATGAAGCACTGAGAGGCAGAAAGGCTTGCTGGGAGCTCGTGCCGCCCACCCCCAGTCCGTCCATCCCCCTCTCCCCTACCCCGTGCCCTACTTTGCCTCTGCTCTCTCAGGCCACGGGTGTCCAGGCAGGTGTCAGAGGTGTGACCCCTACTCAGGGCTGCCTGCCTGTCCTGTCTAGTCAGGAAGACGAGGGATTCCAAACATGGGGCCCCCAGCTTCCTGCCATCCTCAGAACCAGGGCCGGCCCTTGTCACGACCCAAGGGCAGCCCCTTCTCAGAGCACCCCTGGGCCTGTCTCCTCCCTGCTGACCTGGAACGTGAAGCTCTTCCCGCCACAGGGCCTGTGCCTGTGATGGTCCCTTCTCGGGGACACCCCTCCCTGGCGTGGCTGGCTTGTCTGGAGTTGCCACCCCAGAGAGGCACTGGCCCCTGTTTAAGGGGGTTCTCCCATCACTCATCTTCCCTGCAGCCTGTTTGCTCGGCTGTGTGCCCTTCCCCGGCCCTCACCTGCCCCCAACCCACCCATCCTCTTCCCAGGCCGAGCACCCCAGAGGGACTCAGAAATGTTTTTGAACAAAAGGGCACATAAGCCCCAGCATGTTATCGGTCCAGTGAGATGGACAGAATATTCTGGAAAGTGGGTCGGAGGATTGGAGGTGGAGGGAGTGAAATGTCCTGGGGTGGGAATATCTCCACGCACCCCGCTCGGGCTGGTGCTGACCCGAGCTCCCCGCCACCCTGTGCCTGCAGCACCGACAGCTGCTGAAGGACAGCTTCATGGTGGAGCTGGTGGAGGGCGCCCGCAAGCTGCGCCACGTCTTCCTCTTCACCGACCTGCTCCTCTGCACCAAGCTCAAGAAGCAGAGTGGAGGGTGAGTAGACACCGCGGCCCCCAGCCCCCCGACGCTCCAGGACCGGAGAGCCTCTCTGGGGGTCATGGAGTCGCCTGGGAGCAGTCAGTGACGAGGTGGCCAGCCCCTCTTTCTGTTTCTGCCATCTGGGCACGATGCCAGGTTCAAGGTCAAAAATTGTCACTAACAATCTGCAGACGTGGGGCATCGTGGTGACCCGGCTTTGAGTCTTGTTAGTGAAGGGCAAACCTGACCATGACATCACGCACCATCGCGGGAAGGCCATGCTGGGACCTTTCTGGGAAGAGCGGGTGGCAGGTCGGGGGGCTGCAGGGGCTTGTGCAGCATAGCCCTCCCCTGCCCTTGGCAGGCATGGCTGGGTGGTCACGTCCCCCCGAGCCGGGCAGCGGCTTCTGAGCTGATCTCAGCACAGGGCTTCAGACACCCCTCACCACCAAGGATCTGCCTCACCCAGGTCGCACCAGGTTGGATTGGAGCAAAAAGGGTCACATTGGGAAGGACCAGAACTGGGTTCCTCCCCACATGCTGCCGTAGCCCTGCTGGGTGGGTTGAATCAGTCAGCTTGGAAGAGAGCCTCAGTTTCCCATCTGTCAGGCAGGGGGATTATACCAGATAGATCTATAGCCCCTCAAACTCTGCAGCCCCAGGGTTAGACTTCAGTCTTGTCCTCTCATTGGGCATCCTTGATGTGCTCCCGCATGAGCTGCTGACTTGGGAGTCAGTGCAGGATATGGTGGATCTGGGCTCCTCAGACACCTTGGGGCCTGGGGCCACCGTTTGGAATATCTGTTCCCCAGAGTCACTGAGATCGGGGGCCACCAGTGTCTGCCAATGGCCTCGGTCTGCATGGAACTCGAGCTGGGTTTTAGGTCAGGTGAACCGTGCGTGGCCACGGACTTGGGCTCTCTGATTTCGAAAGCAGTGACATTAGTTGGCCAAGGAAGGTGGTCAGTGTGTATCAACATTCTCCTTCTCCCCCCAGCAAAACCCAGCAGTACGACTGCAAGTGGTACATTCCGCTCACGGATCTCAGCTTCCAGATGGTGGACGAGTCGGAGGCAGCACCCAACATCCCCCTGGTGCCGGACGAGGAGCTGGATGCCTTGAAGATCAAGATCTCCCAGATCAAGAGTGACATCCAAAGAGAGAAGGTGCAGGGCTGGGGGCAGCGGGGGGCCGGGCTCCCTGTGACCTGAGTGGGCAGCAGCCCGGGAGCCAGTGGGTACTCTCTTCGCCAGACGTCTCGATCCCACGTCTGGTCTCTGGGACCCCTGTGGGCTCTCAGCTCTTGGAGGGCTGGGCATCTGGTCACAGCCGGGCGCCCAGTTGTTCTGAGAGCCCCCAGCTCAGTGGGGCTCCAGTAGCAGAGCAGCCGGCGGCCCTGCGCTCACGGGAAATGAAGGGGCAGGATGTGGTGTTCACAGTGCGCCGTTCACGGGATACTTCTCGTACCTGGCAGACAGCCTGATGCCTGTTGTCTAACCCGTGACCGGGCGTCCCTCCCATGGGACGCTTGCTCATACTGGCAGATGCCCTGTGGCTCTTGCCTGACCCGTGTCCACTTTACGCCTGACTGATCGTCGCTCTGGTGCTGTGAGTCCTACCTCGTGTCTCACTAGTGTCCCGGGGAAAACCTGGCCTGGGGCAGCCCCTGGTCCTACAGAAGGTGCCCAGTGGGAAACAAGTTGGGAGACTTTTGCTTACAGATCCTGGGCTGGGAGGGTGCCACGTTTGGGAGGGCAGTCTTCCGTTCCCGGGTCACACGAGGCAGGAATGAAGAATCAGCCAGAGAGAGACGTGCGTAGCAACCAGCAGTGTGTATTAACATAAGGGAGTAGCGTGGGTCACTTTAAGTTCTTGGGAAAATGCCTGAACGGTCCTTTAAAAGGAAACATCAGGAAATCGGGAAGCGCCGTCTGCTAGCAGGGAGAGATACCTCTGCGTTCTTGTCTCCAGCCACCGGCTGGCGTCGTTATGCCTGGTCAGTGATGTTTGCTGTGTGTTTCCGTTACGTGGGTGAAGTACCTAGTCACCAGAAGGAAAGTTGCAGCCAGACCGGGGAGGGCTGGGAGCAGCCCAGGACATGGGGCTGGAGGAGGTGCCCGGCTGTCCCCCTTGCAACTGTCCCGATGGAGGACAGTCCCACATGGGGGTGCTGTCCTTCCAGGGGTTCCAGACTTCAGGCCCTTGGTTCTTTCCAGAAAGGTTTAGGAAACTATGAAAATAGTGAGGGATGAGTGTCTCATGTCTAGGGTTACCTGGCCCAGGGGAGGTGCCATACAGTGGCCACAGATGAGGTGGGTCCCTAGAAGGTTGGGCTTCAGTCCAGGGATGCCTGGCTGGGGTGGTCACAGCAGGACAGGGTGTCACCTCGGTCCTCACGCAGGGGCCCAGCCTGCTGCCCCCAAACCCAGCACGGTTAGGAGCTCACAGGGAGCCCCAAGACCAGGGTGAGCATCTAGTTTGTTCATCTAGGCGGGACTGTGGCCTCCATGGCAGGGTGTCCTCAAGCAGAGGAGCCAGAGCTGCGTCCGCAGGGGCAGGCAAGGCCTATTGACTGCCACCACTGCATTTTCTGTGTGGTGCCCTTTGGGGGTTAGGGACAGGGCCCTGCTTGGTGACACTTCAGTTTTCTCCTCCCGAGCGGAGGCTTCAGGAGGGATCCACACAGCTCGGCACAGGGAGGGTTTTCCTGTCCAGGTCCTGGTAATGTTCGTCTGGCTCTGTCGGGAACCCCCACAGACACTCCCAGGGGGGCTGATGATTGGATCGGGGGGGTGTGGGGCCCTCTAGGTCACAACAGCCCCCCAAAATTGTCCGAGTTTGTAAAAATTGAAGGCAAGGACGTTTGCGAAGCTTTCTTCTCTCTGTCCTTACGAGAGGAACGACCTCATTCCTTCAAGACAGGTTTACTGAGCACCTCCCGCAGCTTGTGTCAGGCCTGGACCTTCTGAAAAAGCCACCAGCAGCAGCTGTCCAAGGCTGGGCGGTGCTGAGGGGACAGACGGGACTCCCACCCTCCACGGGCCGGGCATGGGGGCAGTGGGGCGGACCGAGTGGGAGCAGGTTGTGCCAGGCCCCTGAGTGGAAAGATGAGGCTGTGGCCGTTCCCTGCAGCGAGCGAACAAGGGCAGCAAGGCCACAGAGCGGCTGAAGAAGAAGCTGTCCGAGCAGGAGTCGCTGCTGCTGCTCATGTCTCCCAGCATGGCCTTCCGGGTGCACAGCCGCAACAGCAAGGTGAGCACCCGCCACGCCGCCCCTCCTGCTCTCCCAGCGCTCCTGACTGACCAACCACAGCCGTCTTTCTTTCGAGACCACCCTTGTCCAGCACGGCACAGGCAGGCACACGTGCGCCCCTGGTGCTTTGGGCTGTAGCCTCCAGGTTGAGTGGCAGCTGGCTCAGCTCCCACAGCTGGGAAGGGGCAGGGTGTCCTTGGAGGGTGGCCTCAGAGGTTTGTGCAGCCCCAGCTCTCGGTACAGGGAGGCTGTCTGGGGGCCTCAAGGGCCAGAGACGCACCTGTTCTCCTGGGTCGGCTCCTGGTGCCGTCTCTAGCCTGGGCCTCTCCCTCGATGGGCATGAGACACGCCTGTCACTGCAGAATGGTTTGTTCTCTGACGCCTGGCCGGGAGGGGCAGCCGGTGGGCTCTGCAGCAGCCTCGTCTCTGGGTCAGCTCAGGGCTCGTGGGTTGGACGCAGTAGGTCAGGTCAACATCATCAGCTCACCATTGCAATTTCGCCTGGTGACCTCCTCCCTGTCCCTGAGCTCTGTGCCCCCTCTGCCTGTATCACACCCTGGCCCAGGCAGTTCAGATGGGGGCTTATGCCAGAGGTAGGTGTGCACGGGTGCTGTGGCCTGATGCCCAGCTGGCAAGAAGGGCAGAGAGTGCCGGAAACGACTCACCAGGCTATGAGCACACCCCGCCACTGGGCTCCAGCCGACTGGCAGCAGTGGGGTGCCCTGCGGTGCCCTGAGACTGCCGGGTGCTCGCCTAGCCGAGCGGAGATAACTGGGTTGTGCTGTCCTTCTCGCCCACCTAGAGCTACACGTTCCTGATATCCTCTGACTACGAGCGTGCCGAGTGGAGGGAGAACATCCGGGAACAGCAGAAGAAATGTGAGTGGCCTCTGCCTCCGAGGACATGGGCTTTGGAACATCAGTGCCAGATGGGCATCTCCTGTGGTTTTAAACCTTACAGGTTACATGAGCCCTAATTGAGAAATAAGTTGTAGCTGTCCCAATAGGCTCCCAGCCCTCTATTGCCCCACCTGTACCCCGCATCCTCTGCGAATTCATTCCCCCTCTGCCCTCTGATCTCCCTGGGAAGCCCCCCCAGGCCTTTCCGGCACCCACCACTGCCCCATCCCTCTGGCCCCCCGCCTGCCCCCATGTGGTGGGCACTGTCTGCTCTCGGGACAAGATGCCCACTCCCCTCTGTGCTCTCCTGCCTTCTCTGGCCCCTCTGGCGGTTCACGGGTGGGAGGGCAGACCCTGTTTCCTCCTCAGCACCTCAGCAGTATGGGTTGGTTTTCACGAGACATCCTTGCTGGGACTGGTTCCCACTGACCTCTGTGTGCGGCCGTCCCTCTTGCGCGGGAGCCTGGCCGAGCACCGAGTCCCGGGTGGCCGGGGCCTCCCATGGCTGTGGGCCGTCTCCCACTGGAACAGCATCTCTTGCTCACCTGTTGCACACGGACGCTGGGCGGGGTCTCTGCTTGCCTCTGACCCACCCTGAGCTCCCATCCCCACCTGTGCGGAGCCACATCTCGGCCCCCAGTGCCGCCATGGCCTGCAGGGATGAGGGGCTCCGACAGCCCTGCCAGTACTCGTGTCCCAGGGTTTTCTTTCATAACAGGGGGACCCAAACTGTTTCCAGGGTGGCAGCCTCTGTTCCCTGCTCAGCAAAATGTTATGCCCAAGAATAAACCCCTTTTCTCACCTAGCGGAGAAACAGCGTTAGCAGAGTGGGGGGCAGAGCCGTGCTGGTGTCTGGGGAGACACCACAGGGAGGTGCACCCGGGCCACCCTCTCATTCGCAGACCTGCCTCGTGGCTGTGCTTAGGTGGCGTGTGACGTGTTTATAAGCGTCACGCTAAGATTCCTCCAGGCCTGGGCTTTCGGGGCCACGCCTCAGCCTGGTGCTAGACCAACGCTGCACCTGGGGACCCGTCACCCCCTCCTGAGCCACCCAGCGCCAGGCCCCACCGTGCTGCCTCCCCAGAGTGTGGGGGTCGGCGACAGCAGTGCAGACTGGCCAGTCAGGGCACCTCCTCTCCGTCTGCCGCAGGTTTCAAAAGCTTCTCCCTGACATCCGTGGAGCTGCAGATGCTGACCAACTCGTGCGTCAAGCTTCAGACCGTTCACAACATTCCACTGACCATCAACAAAGAAGGTGGGGCTGCCCTCGGCACGCTGTGCTGCCGGGAGGGAGGACAGCCCGCTGGCTGGAGGGCCACCTTCCGTCCTGCCATTGGCGCTTTGGTTCAGACGGTGGATGGTGCTTGTTAGGGCCTCTTGTCCACTCCCAGGAGTGGACGGGGTGGGTTAGGAGCAGTCTCTCCGTGGGCAGCTGCTGCTAGGTGGTTGAGGAGACACGGCTCTGTCCCTGGTCACGAGCCGTGCGACAGGTGCTCCTCAGACCCTTTGTGTCATGGATCCGGCCCGAGTCCCGTCCTCCCGGCCCTCTTCATCCAGCTACTTGCCGGCCCATGCTTTTGGTCAAGCTGAATTTGCATTCACTGTTGCTCATGTGCACGTGTACTCGGTCATGCACAGGTACATGTTCGTGCATGTACACCCCGTGCACATCCTGCATCACCCCAACACCCTCTCCTGCCCTTGGAACCTTCATACACTCTGTCGTGGTCGCTGGTTTGCCTGTGCTGCGAACCTGCCAGATTCTAAGATCCTTGAGACACACCACGGCTACATGTTTGGTCAACACGCTGCTTCGCCCGAACCGGGCAGTCGGCAGCCCCGCGGTGTCCACGTGGTAGCTCATTTCGCAGCAGAGCCAGTGTCACCTGCCTCCCTCTCCCAGGAGGACAAAAGCTCACCTGTTTGGTCTCTTGTATAGATGACGAATCTCCTGGGCTCTACGGGTTCTTGAATGTCATCGTCCACTCAGCCACCGGATTTAAGCAGAGCTCAAGTGAGTGCCTGGTTGGGGAAGGGAGGTGGCGGGGGCTGAGCCGGAGTGTCCACCTCAGAAGGACCGATCAGGCAGGGGGTGGGGAGCCAGGGAAGTTGTTCAGCAGCCGCCTTTGACCGGATGGCCACGGTTGTGGGCTGCAGGCGCTGGCTGATGCCCTCCGGGTGTGGGGTTGTTTTCGCGGAGTGGACGCTGCCTTTTCCTGCGCTTGTCTCAGATCCTGCAAGCTGGCGGGCGCCCCCTGCAGGCATGCCATGTCACTGCAGGGGTCGGAGTTTAGTGGAAAACTCGGCTCCGGTCGCTGTGGGTCCCCGGAGCCTGGGTTCCAGGCCAGGAGGGCTGTGGGCCGTGCATCCTGACCCCATCAGAGCAGATTTGGCTGCTCTGTCGAGCCGGGTGGATAATACCCTTTTCCTCCTTCCCCTGCAAGGGGCGGGGGTTCTCCTTGCCGTGTAAGCTGTCGCAACAGTGAAGGCTGGTTACACTCAGTTGTACTATAGATGACATTTCTAGAAAAGGCAAAATATGGAGACAGAAAGCCAATCGGTGATTGTTGGGGGCTGTGGGTGGGAGTGAGGACTGCCTGCACATGAACCCAAAGGGACCTTTGAGGTGAGGGCAGGAGTCCTGAAATGATTGTGGTGCATGTTTGCACTTGTGTTTAAATTTACTAAAAATCCCCAGACTGTACACTTGCAACAGGTGAGTTGTGTGGCGTTTAGCCGATGCTCCATAAAGCTGTAACACATGGCTGTTCCCCTGGGCCCCCTCTCTGGCTGCCCTGTAAATGTTGTTTCCCAGGTTCCACCCAGACCTTTCGCCCCTATGGCACCTCCTCCCTGTGCTGTCTGTCAGCAACATAGACGACACCCGGGGCTGCCTCTTGGTCCCCGGCTTTTCTTGCCTAGCCCCCTGTTACCTTCCCACCTGTCTCCTCAATGTCCCATACTCTGAGCTTTGCACCCCCAAAACAAACCTATCTTTTATAGCCCCAAACTTGTCCTTCTTATCTTATGTCCTGCCTCGGTAGAGGGCACCACCATCCACCTCCTCGGTCAAGCCAAAAACTACGCCGCTTTATCTGCCCGTCAGGGGAGCTCCTTGACCATCTCTGGCCACCTTCCTCCAGGCCCTGGGTGGTGGCGCCCATGCTCCCGCCTAGCCCCAAATGATTTTTCTAAAATGCAAAGCCCACCCTGTCCCAACCCCACTCCCCTTTGCGACTCATGCCTTCCCAGCGCTGAGCCGGTCCCTGTGCCCCACCCCGGCCTGGAGCCCCCTTTGCCCAAACCCTTTGCCTGATCGTACTCATGGCAGGGGCTGCTTGGGTCCTAGGAGCTTCCCCCAGGACACCTGGCTTCTGCTGTGGCCTCGCCGTGTGGTGCTCATCCCACCATGTAGCGATGGTGGCACGTTCGGCTCTCTGTCCATCCCACCCCGTGGAGGGCCCTTCTCACTGTAGGGGCTTGAGCCGGGGTTTACTGAGTGACCAAGTGAGCGAGTGTTCGGAGAGGTCCCACTTTCCAGCTGCACCCATGGAAATTCCATGGGGCACGGCGGGGGCATTGCACGAGGTGCTGGTGCCCGTGCCGGCTACTGGTTTGGTGGGGTTTTCTTTGAAAAGAAAGTCAAGACCATTTTTTTCCCTATTTTGAAAATAACACCTGCTCTTAGACCATGTGGGTGATGTGGGAAGGTGCAGTCACCTCCCGTGTCCCCTTCCCACAGATCTGTATTGCACCCTGGAGGTGGACTCCTTCGGCTATTTTGTGAATAAAGCAAAGACGCGCGTCTACAGGGACACTGCGGAGCCGAACTGGAATGAGGTGAGGAGTCTGCTTCCAGCAGCACCGGATGTTGTCTTGGAAAGAGTCTACAGGTCCAGGGCCTCCCTGAGGGCTTCCCCCAAAGGCAACCTGCCAGCATTCCAGGAATCTCCTGGGGGGTGGAGGTGACTAGCCGAGAGATTTTATCTCCGTGTTCCTGAGAATCTCACCCACCCACCCCCATCACAAAGACCGGCTGTTACTGGAGAAGTGTTTGGAAAGAGACTTGAAAGGGCTTTTTGTCCTGCCTTTGTTAGCACTTTGTGTTTACTTGGTAGGTTTCCATAGTGTTTTTTAGCCGAAGCTGGGCTAAGCTGGCTCTGACCCTCTCAGTTTCCGGAAGCCCTTGTTTCTGCCTGTGGGGCTGGGGGGGCCTGGCTGTTCGGAAGGGGCCTGTTTGCTCCTCTCTGGCTGCCGGATTTGAGTTTGTCCCTCGCTTTCCCTCACCTTGGAGAGCTGTCATGTAAGTCCCTTAACCACTTGGCCCTGAGCCTTCAGGACTGGGGGGATTATTGCAGAGAAGCCAGTGTTGATTAAGTCCCCAAATCCATGAGAGATGCCATGTCCCGGCTTCTGCCACAGAGAGCTGCCCCCCGCCACCTCTCCTGCAGAGGAAGAAACAAGTCATGAGGCCGGTAGGGCCAGCAGTGGGGCTGGACCTCAGCTTGCCTTTCTCGGCGTCCACCGCTCATTAGTCATTAGACTTGCTGCCTGAGAAACGACCTGGTCTGTGGAGCTCTGACATCCCTGCAGAAAGGGCCGAGTGACAGCTGTGATGAGCGGGGATCAGCGCCAAGTGGGATCCATGGAAGAAGGCTTTACAGAGAGCAAGGAGGCCACGGCCCAGCAGAGGCACTGAGGGAGGGGTTCTAGGCAGTTTGCAACGGTCCGGTCCGGTCGGTCGGATGCCAGCAGTGGCTGCTGCTGCAGAAGCTGCAGGGAGGTGTGAAGGTGCGAAGGCTTTGATGGCAGCAGGTCGCCTGGCACCACCCTTACTGTGCATGTTCCTGGCAGGCTCACACCCCACCCCCATTCAGGTTCAGAAATAGCTGCTGCCTTTTCTTCCCCTCACCCTCCTCCCTTTCCCCACCTAGAACCCCTGTGCAAAGGCATCGGGAGGTGGAGCAGAAAGTTCACACCACAGGCCCAGGGCAGGCAGACGGCTGGCTGGAAAGCCCAGGGAAGCATTCGTTCCCCCAGGTCCCTCCCCTCCTGTACCAACTCCAACGATCACTTCTTTTTTTCCTTTTAAATAGAATTTTTTTAGAGCAGTTTAGGGTCACAGCAAAATTGAGCAGAAAGGACAGAATTCCCATTTACCTCCTCCGCCCCTCCACTGGCGACAACCCGCACCGGAGTGGGACATTTGTTACAGTCGACATGCCAGCATCACCCAGCACCCATAGTGGACACTGGGGTTCATTCCTGGTGTTACACATTCTGTGGGTTTTGATGAAGGCGTGATGAGTATATCCACCATCGTAGTATCTTAGGGGACAGTTTCACTGCCGTAAACACGAACCTGCATCGACCGTCATTATCACCCAGAATCCATTAGAATATCTGCATTTTTTTTTTCTTAGAGACAGGGTCTTGCTCTGCCACCCAGGCTGGAGTGCAGTGGCACAATCATAGCTCACTGTAACTTTGAACTCCTGGGCTCAAGTGACCTTCCTGCCTCAGCCTCCCAAGTAGCTGGGACTCCATGCCACTACGCCTTGCTAATTTTTTATTTTTTTGTAGAGACGGGGTCTCACTATGTTGCCCAGGCTGGTCTTGAACTCCTGGGTTCAAGCAATCTTCCCACCTCAGCCTCCCAAAGTGCTGGGACTACAGGCGTGAGCCACCTCGCCCGACCATATATCTGCATTTTTAACAAGCACCCCTGGTGATGCAGGTGTTATAGGGACCACCCTTTGAGGTGCTGGGGTAGGTTTGAGAGGCATTCAGGGCTTCCAGAAGCATCTAGGCCAGGCCACAGCATGGTGACAGGTGCCTACAGGGAATGCTCCTGAGGGTCCAAGCTGAGTGAGGAGGGTCTCCAGGTGAGGGTCCTTCTGGCGCACGAAGGGCCCTGTTTGTGCAGGAGCCATAGCTGAGGCCCCTCCGGCTGTAGTGCTGCTCACCACATGCTTGGACCTGTTTGTTCACACAAGACTTTCCTGCTTCTTTCTCGGGGCCGTAGGAGTTCGAGATAGAGCTGGAAGGCTCGCAGACGCTGAGAATCCTGTGCTATGAAAAGTGCTACAACAAAGCGAAGATCAGCAAGGAGGACGGTGAGAGCACAGACAGGCTCGTGGGCAAGGGCCAGGTCCAGGTGAGCTTGCCGTCCCTTCCCGCCCTCTCCCGTCCGGCGCCCGTGGTGGGTGGGCTGCCGCGGCTCTGAAACACCCACCGTGGGAGACCTGGGCTGATGCCCTCACGGCTCCAGACAGACTACCTGCTCCTCTGTCTGTCTGTTGTGTCCTATCCTGTCCCCAGCTTGGTTTTCCAGCTGAGGCCTCGGTTCTTTCATGGCCTTAGGGGAACCCAAAGGCAGAACAGCTAGATGGTCCCGTGGGCTGAAATTGGCAGTTCCTGGGCCACCTCTTCTTGGAAAAGCAACAGGGTCCCATTGTCTTCCCACTTGACGTCCCCTTTCTGGGTCCAGCCCCAGTTGGTAGGGTGGACAGCTGTATCCCCGAACAGGCTGCGCTCCCCTCCCAGGGCTGGTGTAGAAGCCCCTAGGTGGGCGGGAGGATGTATCCGTACAGGACCAGCGAGTGGCCCTGGGTTGTCAAGGAGAACTGCCGGCCCCTGGCCTTGGGAAGGTTACCCAGCCCTGGGGCTCACTGCCAGTTGTCAGACAGGACCTGGTGCCCCTGCCCATTTCTCGTGGTCCCAGCTGCACAGTTCCCAGGGTGGCTGGGAGAAGGCCCTGGTACAACCTTCCTTATAGCGTGTCTCCTTAGACACAGCCAAGCTGGCGCCTCCCCCTTCCACCTTCACGTGCAGCCTCTGGGTAAGTAGGTTTTGACATTCCAGGTGCCCCGGGGAGCACAGCGCTCACCAGGAAGCCCCACCTCCCTCCCTCAGGGCAGGAAGTAAAAATCCTCTTCCTGTGAGGATCCTCTTCCAGTGAGGAAGGAAGGAGGAGGGTGATTTCCTTGAGTACTTCGTCATCTTCGCTGTGAGGGCCCACGTGCTCATTCAGATCAACAAGTCCTTTATGAGTGTGACTTGTACCCCTGCCGCGGCCCTGGCTGGCGGGTTCCTGGGCCATGCGCTGCTGCCGGGTTTCCACACTGGGAGCACACGAGGGAACCCAGTGCTTGGGGCTGCCTGGGATCCCACTCCCCAGACCCTTGAGACCAGGTCTAAGAGCAAAAATGCTCCTCTAGCGCATGCCTGAAATCCCAGCTACTCGGGAGGCTGAGGCAGGAGGATCGCTTAAGCCAGGAGTTCGAGACTAGCCTGGACAGCGTAGCACAACCCCATCTCTCAGAAAGAAGTGATTTTTTTTAATGCTCTTGGCTGTCCTGATCTTGCCCCACAACATGGGTCTCGTTCACCCTCCCAGCCTCTGTGTAGACTCTCATGGCGTGAGTCTTCCACGCGGACGGGCTGCTCCGCTCTGAATGACACATCCTGGTGCTGGTCTCCTTTGAGAACCGAAGTTCTTTAGCATCTGTTGAGTGACAGCTGGAGTCTGGGTGATGGTCACAGCTCAGGCCCTTTTGCGCATGTGCGTTCTCATCGGGTCCTTCCTACAGATCTTTGAGAGAGCTCATTTGACGCCCAGGGGACCTTCCCTAACCTGCTCAGGGTCCCCGGGTACCCAGGGAAGTGGAGGGAGCAGAGTGCAGAGCTGGCCGCACTCCCTGTGCAGCCCCTTCCTGCCTCCCTCCGGGGTCCTGCATCTGCCCCAGCACAGGGCATTCCTCACCCGCACCCCGGCCCTGCACCCCGGGCCCTGGGCCCACACCCGCCCGCATCCTGCACAGCCTCGCTGCTGGGCAACTCCTTTTCTCTGCTCATCAAACCAGGTAACGGGAGGTTCATATTCCACCAGCCTTTGACTCATATCATCAAATCTTCAACCACTGGAGTCCTGGGAGTGTTTTGAGCCATGGTTTCTGAGTCCTGGCTTTGGGCGACTGTAGGGGGTCTCAGGGGAAAAGAGAAAAGAAATGATACTCCTCCCCTTTTGCCATATCAGGCCCTCTTTTGAAATCCCTTGCCACAGTGCTCCTGGGTACGAGCACAGTATTTTTTGCTGCACACGACTCATGCTTTACTCTCGGGCAGTCTGGGATGCCCGCTGGGCGCCCTGCCTTGCCCTGTGAGAGAAGGGCAGCGAGTATCAAAGAAAAAACAGCGCGGGGCAGTAGTTAGAGGGTAAAACCAGATCTTATTTAGGACGATTGCAATAGAGGAAAGATACCTCAGCATGGAACTGGGCTCCATCCCAAGGACCACGTGGACAAGTGGGGATTTATAGCCAAGGAGCAGGGTGGGGTCGGTGGACAGAAAGCGACTTAGAGGAATCGTCGGGGGTGAGGGGAATTCGGGCTCAGCTGAACTAACAGGATTCCGAGGGGGCCGGGTGAGCAGACGTCACCTGGGGGTGAGGAATTCAAGCAGATATTGGGGGTCGGGGGTTCTGGCTGGCCTGGCTCAGGGTTCTTGCTAAAATTGAGCTCTGAAGGACAAGCCCAATGATGGAGCCCAGTGGAAAGAAAGAGCCAGAGGAGCCTGGCTAGAGTTTGGTCAGGCAGAGAGTCCCTAGCACGCTGCACGTGACCCAGGCGAGGCCACGGCACCGCCCGGGTTCAGTGACCTGTCGCTCACAGGGCCTGGTCAGTTTGCTATTATTCTTACTCGTCACGGTTGTTGGGAGGCAGTGGAGGAGGCACGATCCTGCTCTGCCGCAGTCACTGAGCCGGTGGGACAGGTGAGTGGGAAACGTGGCCCCCGGTCTTCCCTCAACGGAAGGGGATGCGCGCCAGCTGGAGGGCGTGCGTGACTAACGCCAAGTAGGCGGCAGCCAGCCTGGCCCCTGGAGCTCCAGGCTCCGGGCAGCGGGGACTTGTTTGTGAGATCCGAGGACAAAGGACATCAGAGGAGGGGCAGTGATGCCAGTGACGCCCTGCGAACCTAGCCTGGTCTCTGTCTCCCCCACGGCCATTTTCTGTCAGGGATTCCCGGGAGAGGGTGTGCCTGAGTTGCCGGGGCTGGCCTGTGTGAGTTCAGGCTTTTCCCGGTAACGTCAGGCCCGTGCCGTGCTGCGCTGTGCGGACAGGGGGTACCTGGCTGTCTGCATCCTGCTGTGGGGGCCCCTCACCTCACGCACTTTGACTCAGGAGTGGGGTGGACGACCTTTCCGGGAGGTGAGGCAGGTGCCGCCCGGGTGGGGAAGGCACAGCACCCAGCAGTGTCTGGGGCAGGAAGAAGCCCAGACCCAGCCGGGGGGCGGAGGCTCCTGGCAGGCCCCAGGGCTCTTCTGAGGGGAGGGGCCGGGGATGGAAACTGAGTCTCCAGCAAAGCCGCCCACACACTCCCATGGGCAGGAGGAGTCAGAATATTCTGGGGTCGAGGTCTTGGCCCGGTCTGGTTTCCACTCCCCTACGTGGTGCCCGTGGGCGTCGGGTTCAGGAGCCATCGGCCTGAGTCTTAGATTTCAGCTTCTGCTCTTCAGACGAGTGTCCTGGATGAGTCGCGGGGTCCCCGCTCCCCTTCTTGCAGAGGCCAGAAAGGCAGAGGAACGACACGGCAGGGACGCAGCATGGGGGTGCTGCTGTCCAGGAAAGAGTCACGGATGGCACGGCTCTGAGCCCTCGCATGTGGGCAGGTACAGAGGACTCGGGTGGGGGTCCTTTCGAGCCAGCCCTGAGTGAGCCGCCTGAGCAGGCGAGGCTGTCCCCGTCCACCCTCAGACACCGAGATCCTGCTGTGCCGCCCCAGTGATGGGGCCTCCTGTGTGCCATGTCCCGGGGACCCCAAGAACAAGAAAGACCTCTGTCCCTGGATTTGTGACCCAGAGCAGGGAGACCCGAAAGGAAGGATGCCGCAGGTGTGCCGAGAGCCCAGCCGGCCCTGCCCCAGGGGCAGCTGGCGGCTTGGCTGGCGTGATTCTTTGGAGGGTGAGATCGGGGACAGAGACGCCTTCCCAGGGGGAACATTGAGTCTGTGTCTTCAGGGAGGGATTTTTTGAGCTTTAGGTGTTAACATCCTGTGCTTCAAGCCCAGCAGGGGCACAGGAGTCAGAATGCACAGGGTGCAGCGTAGCTGGAGGGCTGGCAGAGCAGTTCCGTCTGCAGCCTGGCCCCGTGCGCCTGGGACAGGGTCGGCGACGGGCCCTGAAGGCACCGTCCAAGTGCCCCAGAACATCCTGGGCCGGCCGTCGTTTCCTTCTCTCCTCCATTTGCGAATTTTCTAGGTTGCTAAATCTCCTTAGCCCTGTTTCTTCTCCCTAGGGGTAAGTTTGTACCGAGCCATAGAGCTCTGTCCTTTCCCGTTTCTCCTGTGTGCACCGTTCCTCCTGGCCTGTTGCGTGTCTTGCTGGGCTCTGACTATGTCCCAGCTCGGGCATCAGAGTTGGTTTTTGTTACTGCTGTTCATGTTTTACGTGAGCCATCGGGGTGAGATTCGGGCCGAGGCCTCTGGCATGGTCTTGGCTCTGTCTGAAGCTGCGCTCAGGCTGGCAGAGCGGGCTTTCCCAGACATCTCTGCCAGCCCGGGTTTCGTGGGAACCTGACCAGACAGGAGCCATAGGTCCGATGGGGCCCCTCCTGGGGAGCCCTGCAGCCACTCTCCACCCGCCACCTTGAGGGGAGGCCTACCCACTCATGACAGTCTCCCTGAGTGACCGCCTGCTCCACGGCGGTTATGCCCCAAGAGCTCACAGAAGTGCTGGCAACAGCCGTGTAACTGTAGAGGGGACACCCAGGTGGGTGGGTACACCCGTGTGCACAGCAGCACCAACCCTGCCAGCCTGGGTGCCCACCCGCTGGGGAATGGATAATTGGAAGGTGGCAGATCCATAAGGTGGAATATTACTCGGCATTCAAAAGGAAGGACATCTGACACGCACTACAACACGGATGAACCCCTGTGACCTGCTCGGTGAAATAAGCCAGTCACAAAAGACAAATACTGTGTGGCTTCACTTCTGTGAGGGATTTGAAGTAGTCAAATTCACAGGGACAGAAAGTAGATTAGAGGTTGCCAGAGGCTGGGGGTTACTATTCACTGGGCTAGAGTTTCCGTTCGGGATGATGAAAACGTTCTAGAGATGGCTGGCGGCAGTGGTCACAGCAGTGCGAGCGTACTTAAGGA